TAAGCGATTTACAACTCTAAGACCTCTACGAATTTCAGCTAGACAATCGAAAACTATTTTGTAACATTGATAACCATCTGAAAAAGGGTCAGAAGATAGTTTCTCGTTCTCTGTTGCTCTCCCTCTCCCTGAAACCCATTAAAGTGTCACAACAAAACGCTGAACTCATTTTTTGATATCGCACTGGGCAGCAACCAAAAGCCATAAAACAAGCTAGTTTATAGGAAATGGGGGATAGGGGAGAGTGGATTGTGGATAGTGGAAAAACAGAAGACCCTGGCCACGAACTAATAACACGAACGCCTAAATGGACTCAATAGCCAAAAGTGTCAACGCCAGACCGCAACAGGAGTGAGAGAGGGAGGAGAGAGAGAGAGACGACCTATGTCTAAGCCGATTATGGGCCACGACTTTTGGGAACGGAACGCACATAAAAATGTCTCTCTGGCTGTCAGCCAGGCAGTCAGGCAGGCAGGCAGGCAGACGATTCGGTGATCTTCCAGAATCGTGTTAAGCGTGCTCTGGAGTCCAAGGAGTTGGGGGAGGGGTTCTTCTACTTGTTTACTTGTTGGCGGTGTCGATGTCTTACCACTGCTCTGGCTATGACTGTGGCTGCGGCTGCCGCTGCGGCTGCGACTTTGGCTGTTGGTGCTGTCTGTGTCCCTCGGCTGATGATTGTCATTAACATCAAATTACCACAAGTCAAAGTCATGTTCACCAAAATAAAAACCCAAGAACTGTGATCGCCAGACGCAGGGAGACAGAGGAGAGGCAGCGGCAGAGTCTCCACCGTCATCATCGGCTCAGACAGATAGTCGGCGGCACTTAGGTGGAAAGTTATGGAGCAGAAATGAAATGGGAGAAGCGCAGGCGCAACCACATCTGAAAAAATGAAGGAATCTGCTGATGGAATGGCGCTGGCCATTGGGCGCTACACCTCGTTGGCCATTGGGACAAATCTGTGGTGACACCTGATTGCGGTCTGAGTTGGAAAACAGATCACAGAAAGGAGTACGCAATGATAGGAGGATATCTAAACATTGATTATCCAAAGAATATTCATTCTTTGATAGCTCTCTGGAGCTTTCCAAACTTCTCTTTCAATATCTGAGCAAAGGAATAGTAAGATATTATCTTCTGGCAGTCTCTGCGATATGCATAATTATGTTAAACACATTATATCCATTCATAAATCTTTTTAGCAGCAGACGAGATGTGCGCCAGTTCTGTGAGAATTCGAATAATGAGCAGATAGAAGATATTATTCATTCCAGTGAATGGAATGGAATGGAATGGATAGGGCTAGGTCTTGCTCTAGCTCTCGCTCTCATTTGTATTTGTCTGGCTTTGAGGAGGCTTCAGGCTTCAGGCCTAAGGTTTGAGGTATTTTGTAGGTGATAAAATGTTGCTTGGGTATTTATTATGCGGCGACACTCAATATGAGGATGGGCTCCGATCCAGGGGCATGGACATGGGTCTGCTCGGAGACGGAGACGGGAATCACAAAATCTCAAAATCAAATCAATAAAAACCAGTCAAAAGCAACAACAAACCAGCAACCGAAACAGAAATAATTTTTAAGATGCAAATTATGCAAATGAGATGAGATTTCGTGTGGCCCAAGCCGAGAAATATTCGAAACCAAAACCGATATTCCACCTGACAAACCAAAAATCAATTTTTCTTTCTTGCCCAATTCTTTCCGATGGGCGCCATGTGGGCGGGGGCGTGGCCTTACACATTCATATGGAAACGGAAAAAACAGAAACAGAAACAAAAACAAAAAACTTACTGCGCCGAGAGTCGTCTGTGAGTGTTGCAGCATTGGGGGTACGACGAAGACGCTTCCAAAACAACATTTTGCTGATTGAATTTGTTGTCCGATTGATAAGATCGTTGATTAGTTTCGTTATGTGAACACGTTTAGGGTTATGCGGGTGTTTCTTTTTTTTTTGTTTTTTGATTATTGCGAAATGCTGTTAACATTTGACAGAGCTCGCATTAATTATGGAAAGCAAATCGAAGCGCGGATCGGCACTGATTAACATAAAATTCGAATTACTCAGTGTTCCACCGGCACTAGACACATTCTTGAGTCATTCGCTGAGCACGCGCCACCCTCTGATGGAAGCAGTAAAAAAAAAACAAAACCAAAAAAACTAACTGCGCCGGGAGTCGTCTGTTAGTGTTGCACACCCTGGGAATGGGACGGAATGGAGCGGGCGACAAGTCGTCCAAGCACAAGCACGCGCCGGGTTCAAATGCAACTGTAACTGCAGTCTGCAGTCGACGAGGGCAGAGCCGAGACCGAGACCAAGACCGAGCTTGGGCGTCCGAAAGTGGTGCGCGACACAAATTATGACTGCGCTCACACACACACTGACACACGGACAGTGGCAGCGACAGAGCGGCCGGTGTTTCAAGAAAGTTATGCTCAATGTGGAGCGATTAGCTCAGGTGTTTCTCGTTTTTCCCCTACTTCTTCTTTAGCAGCAGCGTTTTCGATTTGTTTTTGTCAAAGTCAAAGTGTCATGTGTCATCGGGTGAGACAGTGGACTCAATTGTGGGACCTGTCCCCGCCGCAAGTTTCCGCAAGAGCTTCCGTTAAGCGATTTTCACGCCCAAACACCCGGAGCCAGAGTAGACCCAGAGCCAGAGCCAAAGCCAAAACACTTCTGCCCCTCACGACGGTTAATTAACGAATAAAAAGTCGGTTTTTGTTACGAAAAAAAGTATATATATGAGCTTGGCTTAAACGCGTCTGGGCCCTGCTACTATCGTGCTCTGCTGCGGAGCTCCGTGGTACAATAAAAAAATAAAAAGAAAATATGTTACACCAAACAGTTGCGCCGACTGCGGACTGCCGGCGTAGCCGTTGGCGTTCACGTCAGCGTCACTGTCGACGTCGCCCAGCGCACATTGGGGCCAGTGGAGGCATAAAACAGGTGTAAAAACTGATATGAATGAATGAACTATAAACAAGAATGCTATTTAAGGGCCTGGCAACATCTGATAGGCCAGATCGAGATGAACCACTGAATGGACATAAAGTTTTATGTGTTTGGAGGGCGTGCTGGGGACAATTAGATGTTCGTAAAAAGATACTTTATGAACGTGTTTAGGAGGGTGACCACAAAATGTCGTTGGAATAGTTGGAATTTGTCAATTATTTCCAGCAATTGAAAATAAAAATTGAAAATAAGACGTACCTCCTTAAAGATTCCGTGAAGTAGCAGAGAGAGAGAGAGCATCGCTGGTGCCGTTGCATTGCTGGCTATCTGCATTTTTGCTGCTACAAATGCTGCGTCGGTTGGCTGTGGGTCAAACAATGGAATTTTCTTTATTTTCACCTTATTTCCAATTAAAACTTACCTTAAATATTATTAAAACACAATCCAAATATTTCCAGATTTATTCAGTGTGTGCACACTGGCGACAGAGAAGTCGCAGTCGCTGCCGACGCCGACGCCAACACCAGCACCAACACCAGCACCAACACCGAAGCCATCGTTGCGTTGGTGGCGGTTCAGTGAATTTCGCCGACTGCACTGTTGCTGCTGCTGCTGCTTCTGCTGACGTCTTGGGCTGTGGGCCAAAAATGTGTAACAACAACAGGTGATCGCTGGCTCGTGCAAAGTTCATAATGCACGCAAAGCTGAAAGACAGTCGGGAAATGTTTCTGGCTTTTGTTGCTCTTGTTCGCCTGCACATTTATTGCTTAACGCTTTGATGCGTTGACTGAGTTGTTCCTGCCGCCTGCTGCCGCTGTGCTGATCAACGTGCAATGGACAGTGGAGCCCGGAGCCCCCATGCTGGAGTAAACTTCTTCCTCATCATGCGGACGGTTGCCTCTCCTCTCCATTTGACATATTGCACTTGGCTTACCGCTGCCGGTTCGCTGCTTCTGCCGCAGTCTGTTCATTAAGCGAATCAGCGTAGCGAAGCATAAAAGCAAATTAACATAAAACAACTTCTTTTTCGACTTCTACTTACAGATATGAGTGTGCGGATCTGTGTGGATGTGTGTATTTGGACACACATCAAAGTACTTCTTCCTCTGTTCCATCTTTTGGCCATTGTCAGCCGCTGTGGCGGAATTAAAGACCCTTTTTCTAATGCCTTCGTCCGGGCAAATTGCTTTGGAACGCGTCTAATTGGAATACAAATTTCATTTGAATTGTTTTTTCTTGCTTTTTGGTCTCTTCTTTTTCGAGTTTTTTCTTGCGACAGGTCATAGCACTAACAATTTTTCGTTCAGCTTCGCGCGGATATTTGTGTGGTCCATTCACAGTAGACAGTAGATGGTATTATTATTGTGACTGCAGCCATGTGAAACGAGTGGGGAGAGAAAAAGAAGGAAGAAACAAGAAGATAGGAAGCGGGCATTTTGAAAGAACAATTTTAAACTCACGTATTAGTTAAAGACTGGCTGGATGGTTGTTGTAAATTTGTATTCCCTATGATCCACAGTGTACTATATATTTTCTACCCCCCTTTCGTGAGAGTATGCGTTTCTGCTGCGTAATTGCAATTCAAAAATAGTTTTTGATTGATGTGCTTTCAGGTGTCCATTCACAATAGATCGAATGCAGTCGTGCGGAACAGCCGCTATGGATTATGAAAGACTGAAATGTGCAAAACGGTCACACTTAAAAATGGCGGTTTGTTTACAAAAACATTTGTATTTCGAATTGGATTGGGATGAAAGATCTACTATACCCAAATATGGATATCTAGACACACACTTATATGCATATCTACATCATATTGTATGGAGTTTCGGTTCGAGTATTCCGGTCTTGGTAATCATCCCACTGCCACTTTCCTCCCTACCATTATGCATCGTTGTTGCATGCTTTTGAAAATATGTATTATAAATATTTATAGATGCACCACCGATAGATGCAGTAATGTGTAATATGGCTAATGAAATTCCATCTTGCAACAGGCACAATGCAATATGCGCGTGGTGGTTGTGGCAACGAAGCGTTGCCATGTCATCATCCACACAAACAATTGGATGAGCCACCACCGGCAGCACGAGCTCTGCATTAGCGAAAAATGTCCCGCACACTCAAGAAGGATTACCGCACCGCGGATTTTGAGCAGCTGAGCCGTGAGATCCGGAACCATCCGATAATGAGGACTTCCACGGCGGAGCAGCAGCAGATGCAGAAACTGCGGACGCCCGAGTATCGCACCAAGTGCGTGATGCGGGCCTCGTTGGATGACATTGCCCTGGGGGTGAGTGGATCAATCGCTGATGGATAGCCTCATAGGCTGCTCTATTTCAGATCAATCTCTACAAGCTGCATCTGGGCGAGACGAAGCAACCGCAGCAACCATCTATCCCAGAGACCTTTACTCCTGGCTCTGTTTCTGGCTCTGTTCACAGGCCCCCCAAGTCGGCCAAATCTCCTGCCACGCCCTTCATCAAGGTATTGCTGCGCAAGACGCCCACCGTGGTGCTGTTCGAACGTCACAGCATGACGGCCCTAGCAGACACCGAAGAGGGCCGGCTGGTGCTCGAGGATAACCAGCGGTACGAGGAGCTGCTGGCGGGCACGGACAAGTCGCGACGCACCGTCGACTCGGACACCCAAACCATTACGGCGCTGAAGAAGTCGCGCCTGGTGAACACGGAGCGCCTGACAACCGAGCAGATTGGCTCATATGTGTCCAACTTTGAGATGTTCGATACGTACCAGGACCTGGAAACGTCCACCACGAGTGTGCAGGTGCAGGGCGCCCAGAAAATGGAGGTCACCACATATCACGTGGGAGGCGTGGACCAGTTTGTAGCGATCAACAGCATGCCCAACTTCAAGCTGGCCCTAATGCTCACCATGCGCATCCTGGCGAGCAATGTGTACGAGCCGCAGCAGCGACGATACCGGAATATGGCCATGCCTGATCCGCTGGCTGAGGATGTCAAGTTCAAGTACCGTTTGGGTCTTCTGTGGCGCCTGAGTCCGCCCTCCCCGCTACCTAGGGTCCATCAAGCGGTGAGCGACGTGAGCTTCTGCCCCAGCAACGGCGACATCATGGCCGTGGCCTATGGCGTATATAGTCATGCCAATATGTCCCGATTGCCGCGTTGCGGCTACGTTTACGTGTGGAACATCAAGAATCCAGTGAACCCCGAACGCTGCTTCAACTACGAGGTGCCAGTGGTCACCGTGGAGTTCTCCCCATCAGCTCCCCAACTGCTGGCCATTGGCCTGCATAATGGCAGCGTCGAGGTCCGTAATATCTCACAGCCGGAGCAGCCGCCGCTAGCCATTTCTCACCGCAGCACATCGCCCCACTTTGAGCCAGTGACAGCCATCAGGTGGATTCGAATAGCAGGCGATGTAGGTGGCCCGGCCGTTATCACACCCTTCCTGGCCATATCCCGGGCTGGCGCCGTCACCAAGTATCGCCTGATAAACAGTCCCCATCTGCTGGGCTTCGAACAGCAGCGTCTGCAGCGGGCCGAGGGCGAGCTGGAGGGCCTAAAGATCGATCGTCCGGTGCCGGCGGCCTCGCTGCAGGCCAATCGGCATCCGCAGTGCCTGGAACTGGTACTGGATCCGGTGCAGGCAGACATCTACTATGTCCTCACTGACGAGGGCACCCTCTACAAGTACTCCACCAACTATCCGCTGCAGCATCTGGAGCAGCGGCAGGTGCACAATGGTCCGGCCGTGGGCATGGAGTTCTCTCCTTGGTCCCCCAAGATGTACCTCACCTGCGGCAGCGACTGGTGAGGCCTGAATCTCTAAAGGGCTCTCCGCCTCTACTTATTTGGCTTGTCCCACAGGTGCATACGGATTTGGCTGGCTGGCATTCTCTCGCCGGTCATCACATTGCGCCACCATCTCTCGCCCGTGCACAGCGCCCGCTGGAGTCGCACCCACTCCACCATACTGGTATCGCTCACCCGCAGCACCGTGGACATTTGGGATTTGCGCAACAGCACCCTGAAGCCCGTGTCCTCGACCACGATAGATGCCACCATCTACTACACAACCTTTCGGTGGGTGCTCTTGAAGTGATTTGTCCGTATTTGTTCGCTGATCTGTTGATGATCTTTCAGGTTTTCCCACTGTGGTCGCTCTTTGGCGGTGGGCAACGAGGCCGGTAATCTGCTGATGCTTTCGTTCGAGGACATGCCTTTTCCCCCGCACTTCCAGTACAAGCAGCTGAAGAGAGCCATCTTCAAGGCGCTGGCCATGGAACCCGATCTCCAGCAGCAGGTGAAGAGTGTCGGCTACTTTGGCTATCCCGCTGGCAACAAACAGCCAAAGGCGTTTAAATATTAATGAATAAAGAAGCGTTCCAATTGAAAATGTTCCATTGCCTGCCACCTTGAACCATGAAGTAAGCCTAGTTTTAGTTGCTCTTATCAGACACCTGCATTTACAATTCAAAACACAGCTCGGAGTGTAAGATAGCCTCGAGTACCTTGAGCATATCATAGCGACCAAGTTCAAGCCGCCCCCGCTGACGACAACGACGACCAAGTTTGTGGTTTTGTGGCGCAGTCGATGACGCCGACTTTCGGATGTCGACGCGTTGTTTAGTTGAAATAGAAACGTTAACAATGCCTCATCTACTACGGCAATTGCCCGTTTCCCCCACGGCCACAATGCACGATACACGGACAACACTGCGAAACCTGCCTCCGGCCTACAGTCCCGCACAGACGCCACATAGCCGGGAGAAGGATTTTGCCCCACAGGTGCGCTATCATTTGGAGCTGCCACGCAAGCCAAAGTTCCGGCCCTGCAAGGTCATCTTTGTAGGCGACTGCTCCGTTGGCAAAACGGCCATAGCCAATCGGTGAGAGCAGGATCAGACCATCCCGTAGAAGATAATAATCGTTCGGTTCGTTCTTCCTTAGCTTCTGCTATGACAAGTTTCAGTCCAATTACAAGGCAACAATTGGTGTGGACTTTGAGCTGGAGAACTTTAATATACTTGGCCACAATTACAGCCTGGAGATGTACGTGTGGTGTACTCTGCCTTCCTCTTTCTTTATTTATATTTTTGCTTGGTTTCCAGGTGGGATACGGCCGGACAAGAGCGCTTCAAGTGTATTGCTGGAGCCTATTATCGCAATGCAAGAGGTATGTACTGAAAATTATCATATATTGATTCTTAGAACTAATATCCTTCAGTGATTGTCGTGACCTATGACATGTCGAGACGCGATACCCTGGATTCGGCCAAGAAATGGCTTGCCAGCGCACTCAACTACAATACAAGCCAGAGACCATTGGTCTTTCTAGTGGGCACAAAGGCAGATCTCTTGGTGAGAGAACTACATTTCTATGTACAATTATAGATAAATAATAATCACATTCACCTCGAAGACAAAGGAGGAATTCATGCGTATGGAGCGATTGGCGGGCAACGCAGCCGCAGAAATTCAGGCGGAGTATTGGTCCGTATCGGCGCGTTCCGGCTTTAAGGTGACGGAGCTGTTCCAACGGATAGCTGCATTGGCCTTTGAGGAGGCAGTGAAGCAGCAGCTAGGATCCCTCAAAGGCACAACACAGGAACAGGCGACGCTGGCATCTGTGAAATCGCAAACATTTGGTAATATTTTTCATTGAAGTCACAAGTCATTGGCCTTACGAAAATGTTCTTGCAGATTTACGCAGCTATTTCAGTAGTCGCTTTTCAAGACAAAAAAGTGGATGTGCTTGCTAGCCTTCACAATTTTAAGTTAAGGAGCCAATAAATAAAAGTTATTTGAAGAAAAACTGTTGTTTGTGGATAGCCTTGCCATTCATTTAAACAGCACGATCGTTTTGGTGCTGTTGCGCGCACAAACGTAATGTGCTGTAAAGCACTATCTTGAGGGCTGTTGCGCGCACAAACGTAATGTGCTGTAAAGTGCTATCTTGAGTGTCATTGCACACATTAACGTAATGTGCTGTAAAGCGCTATCTTCAGTGCTGTTGCGCGCACAAACGTAATGTGTTGTCTCTTTTTCTTCGACTTCAAGTTATTTATTTAAGAGCTATGCTTCTAATTTTGTATAGCAACTTTTAGCAAAGGAATATTTTGCTTATTCTAATTAATACAACATTTTGGTATGTAAAAGCGCTATTTTGAGTGCTGTTAGGCGCAACATTCAGTGCTGTCAAGTGCAAATATTTAGTGGTCTGGCCACTCTACTGTCACATTACGCTTCCGCTTTTTGACAACTGGCCCTCGGTTGTTCTTTTCATTTCTTTTTCTCGTAGAAATGCCACCCAAAAAGCCAACTGAGAAATCCGGTAAGGATTTTTCATATAAAAATCAGCTAAAAATGTGTGGATTTATCACCAAAAGCAATGCTAAAGCATGGATAATAATCAGAAATAAAGAAATTGCATTAAATCACGAATTTAAGGCAGAAAATAGTTTAAATGTATTCGCCACGTGCGGTGTGGCTGCGTCCAACCACGGCCAACAATATGCGAGCTTGCCCAGTGCTACAATCAAGCCAATTTTTTTTTACCATTATTTTCAAGTGAAATTCCCAGTTGAAATTTAATATAGACTACGACGACGCTTGCTTCAGTGGTGATAGATCAGGCTTAACCTAACTTTGTGTGTATCACATTCCGTGATGTTTACTAATCAATATGATTTGGTGTTCCGCTTGCAGCCAAGCCTGGCGATAAGAAGCCAGAGCAGAAGAAGGCTGCGGCCCCGGCTGCTGCCAAGAAGGAGGCACCAGCTGCTGCCAAGCCCGCGGCTGCTGCTCCCAAGAAGGCGGCTGCTCCTGCCAAGAAGCCAGCTACCGCTGCTGTCAAGAAGCCCACAGCCGTGAAGAAGGTGGCAACCAAGGCCAAGCCAAAGGTCAAGGATGCCAAGAAGAAGCTGGCTGCAGGCAAGAAGCCACAGTCGGTGCTGGCCAAGCTCTCGGCTAAGGCTCGCGCTGCCGCTAAGGCTAAGAAGGCAGTCAAGGTTGGTGCTAAGCCCGCCAAGGGCACTGCTAAGGCCAAGGCTGTTGCTCTGCTGAACGCCAAGAAGGTCCAGAAGAAGGTGAGTTCGCTGTGAACAATTACTTTTCCCTACTCTTGGCTAATCCCCGCTTGTCCCTGAATCGTGTAGATCATCAAGGGCGCTTTCGGTACCCGTACTCGCAAGGTCCGCACCAACGTGCACTTCCGTCGTCCCACGACCTTGAAGCTGCCCCGTAACCCCAAGTACCCCAGGAAGTCGGTGCCCACCAGGAACCGCATGGATGCTTACAATATCATCAAGTACCCCTTGACCACAGAAGCAGCCATGAAGAAGATTGAGGACAACAACACCCTGGTCTTCCTCACGCACCTGCGCGCCAACAAGAACCACGTGCGTGCTGCGGTCCGCAAGCTCTATGACATCAAGGTAGCCAAGGTGAACGTTCTGATCAGACCCGATGGTCAGAAGAAGGCTTATGTGCGCCTGGCGCGTGACTACGATGCTCTGGATATTGCCAACAAGATCGGCATCATATAGACAAGCAAAGTGTGGGGAACGTGCGTCGCATTCTACATTTCTACATAGAATTCTTTCTATAAACAACATAATAACTAAGCTGACAGAGCGCGAGGATGAACGTTTCTAAGTTGTCGACTGGGTATAATAAAAACCACTCAAAAAGAAACCATTAACTTGCTTGATTCTGGGTGGGTTTTCTTCTTTTTTTAGCGATTATTTTCAGAATTCATCCAAGAGCCACATCATTAAAGGTGAGTTTGCATAAGCTTAAACATACATTTTTAACAATCTAATTTCTTTACAGATTCTTTGCTTATGAACGAAAAAGATGGACCACCAGCATAAAAGGTAATTACCAAGGATATGCGATTTTAGAAACAGATTATATATTTTTTTTTCTGATGATTTTTTGTAGGAATCTCACTGAGCTTCAGTCATTCGTTGCTTTGAAATCAATTTATCTTTCTGATTATACCAATAGTTATACCAAATTGCTTTTCTTCATGTACCCATCTAATCAAAATATTCTCCATATTTGTTTCAGTTGTTCCAAAATGGAGCCTTGGAGGTCATCGTTTCCCGAAGGTGTGTAGAATTTATTATCCTATACAAATTTTTATCTTGTGATGATTTTCGAGTAGGAATCTCACTGAGCTTCAGTCATTCGTTGCTATGAAATTAACTTTATCTCTTACTGATTATATTATTTGTAATACGAAACTGAAACTAAATTGTCCTTTTAAATCCCATCTAATCAAAATATTCTCTACATATTACAGATTACCCATATGTGGTTGCTTGGAATATTTCCCAAAAAGGTGTGTAGAGTTCATGATCCTGTAAATTAGTATATTGTGATGATTTTTTGAGTAGGAATCTCATTGAGCTTCAGTCATTCGTTGCTTTGAAATAAGTTTGTCTCTTACTGATATGTTTAGTGAATTATTTAAAGACCCTGCGAGAAATCTGATGACTAATCAATGCTGTTTTCTCTTTTTTCAGATGGTGAAACACGCACCGCTTGTATTCCTATATAAATATAGTTGTAGTTAATTTGACAATAAAACAAGCTATTTTCTTATAATTAAAACCATTGTACTTTTAATATCTGCGAAACTGTTTCCTAAACTTGTCATAATGATAGTCGTCGGTCGCACGCTTCACACCATTGGGACCTGTGTGATTCTGTGCTGTTTTTTTGCCCTCCCTTTCCTCCCGTTTGCGTCTTCGCTGTTCGCTGTTCTCCTCGATATTGACTGCATTTAATAAAACGAGATGTACATAAGATATGGGATGAGAAAGGGTCGTACTTACATCGATTGTGTTGCATAAAGTTGACAGCCATGTTCGTGGGCACAAACTGTGACGGTCCGTCCTTCTTGTTCTTGGCATCCTGCAGCAGTTTCTGTTTTGCATCCTCCGTGGCCTCTATATTGCAGATCTTGGCCTGAATGCCCAGGTCTACCTCAGGAATGCCGTTTAACATTTGATTGGACAACATCTCCTCTGATCTGTGCGTGGACGATTGCCGCAAGTGGTCAGGCAGTGCATATAGTGCCGCGTCTTCGGGTGTTAGATATTTATTCACATCACCGTCGTCATTGTCTGCGGCATCTGTGCCACCACCCTTGCGCTTCTGCAGCTCTAGCTCAATATATTTCATCATCTCCTCGTCTTCATCGCGTTTGTTCGTCTCAGCAGAGAACTGTGTGCCAATGCCCACATCGTAAGGATCCTCGGCTTCCTTCATTTTGCCAGATTTCAATGTGGCCATGTTGACCAGGCCCCCAGATTTCACATTGAAGGGATCCTTTATGGCCAACTCCTCCTCCGGAGCGATTTTCTTGCCAAGGGCCAGACCCACAAGGCTGACACCATTTGGACGATGACGCAGACGTTGGCGTTCCTTAATATCGTCCAACGTTAGCCTGAGGAGAAATTGCCATTGAAAACGAAAGCATTTTCGCTGATTTTACTCACTTTTCCTCCTTTTCCTCGTCATCGGAGTTTTTTCGTTGGCGTAGATTTTTGCGTGAGGACTTCTTAAAGAAGACCTTTGTCGTCGCGCCCTCTGTCTTCGTTTCATCAGCCGCATCGCTCATTCTTTTATTTGTTTATGGTTTTATTTTTATGAAAATGCGATTTGTTTATTTTCTGAAGCGTCGCGTGCGCGATAGTCGCTACCAATATATCGAGTTGATATGTTTAGTTATCGATAGTATAGTTGCAGCATATAATGTTGGTATATAATGGTATATTTGCTCCATATTTAAGGGATTTTACGGGTATATCCCAGATCAGAAAATTTTCCATCGACCGAATTAAAGATGATATTCGTATGCAAAATTCTAATGCATGCCGTATTTCAATCGATGATTCATTAATCGGATAAAGTTATGTGGGCAGGGCTGGGTCACCTATCTATGTATGATGGAACTCGGATAATTCGTCAGTATATTAACGGTATATTTTAAAAATGAATCGGTATATTTCCGAGGGTCAGACGGGGTATATGTTATCGATAAGACCGTGCAGCATTGCAGTGCATTCCATATATCGAAAAAAAGCGGCATCTATCAAAGGAATTTCGCAAAGAATAATTTTTATTTTTTGTGCCGCAAGTTGTAGAAAATAGTTAATAAAGCCGGAACGTATTTCCGAATGTGTTGCAGTGAACAAAAGAGAGGTTTGTAGCTGTTTCAATAGACTGTGTGCCTCAACGTTATTGCCAACATTGCAACCAAAATCGATTTTGTCTTTTTGCAAACTGCAGTATTGGTGGACCACTAAGTACCCCCCTCGAGGACATTGATGCATTGATAAATAGCTACCCGAAGGCATCATGTACAACGGCATTGGCTTGACAACCGCCCGCGGCTCCGGTACCAACGGACATGTGCAGCGCAATTGTGCATTCGTCCGGCCGGGCAAAAAGGACAAGGACTATCGCAGCGAAGATGACATCAAAAAGTTGGACGCCCAGCTGAATCGTCCGCCAAACAAGGAAATTCTTGACCATGACCGCAAGCGCAAGATCGAAGTCAAGTGCTTGGAATTCGAGGAGATACTCGAGAAGCAGGGGTAAGATGATCCATATTCCATGTAAGGGCCTTGTAAATGCAATCCCTAGTTATATAATGCCGGTGACCCCAACGCATTTACTGCGCTGCAAGCGACCAACCTACCGCCGCTGGTGGTGCTGCTACTTCTGTTTATGTGTCCGCTGCTTCCTCTGTATATTTTCTCTGTTTACGGATTGCGCCTGGTAGCAGCGTCGACGTCTCGTTTTTCTCGCCACGAACGCGCATACGCACTCGCGCAACCACCAACCCCTACCATGCGTCACATATGAGCACTGCGGCGCTCTTCCGGTGACCGCTCCGACACCCTACCCAAGGCCTCGGCCTGGGCCTGGCACTGGCCTGCCCTGGTGGTGAAAAAAGTGCATTTCAGTTGTAGAGATTATTTCAATAGAAGACATCCGCGTGTCGCGTGCCGCACGGACAAACGTTTCAAACAATCTGAGAATTCCCATTAAAGTTTAATTTTTAATGTAGTGCAGCCTCTAATATAAGTGAAATCATACCCAAAAGCCTTGTTATTCATTGAAAAATTCTGCCAATCTATCATCTGGGTGTAAGGTATTCTCCAAGGTACTTTTTTAAGAATTTAAACACGAGAAAAGTTTCTGAATAATAACGTATTGCTTTATGATCCAAACAGACGCACACCGGAGGACATCAAATCGCAAGTGGACTCGTTCCGTCAGAAGTTAGTGGGCCAAGGGAAGACAGATGCACCAAAGGATGAATTTGGACGCGTAGCGTGAGTAGTATATCCATTCAGGCTTATGTAATTTAAACAAAAAGTGGGCCTAGTTGACAAATCAATAAACGGTTAAACAAAACGCGTGCCACAATCTCGGCCAGCTACAGCTGTAGGCCCCCCCAGCCAGGCAACGTGCGCCCTGCCATTGCGCCGCTGGGTGGTGCGCACAGCATGTGGCCGGCCGCCCACCACATGAGCAACTCAGCCCTGCTGCTGGGACATGCTGGCCAATCGGCTTCGAGGAGTGGTATAGAGAAAAGGCTGCTGCAAAGATTTTGGGGATGCGCACTCCCGTTTTCAGTCACTTCGAGTCTTCCAAAGCCAAAGCAACATGGCTGCACCGCTCAGGAATAATTAAATACCAATTAAAATAGATAAATATTATTAAATGAATAAATAATAAGACAAGCAACCAAGTGTCCTTGGGCAGGAACACAAGGACAAGGGGTCCCATGCAATGGCAATGCTGCAGAGAGGCCGCCACAGGATGCCCGAAAAGATCGCGAAATTTTCACTCCAAGCTCTGGAAAAATCAATAAAAATAATCAGCCACCCACAAGCCGCCGTCTGGCCGGAGATGCAGCCATAGGAAAAAACCAAAATATAAAATAGAGACACTAAACTAGGGAACCCCCTCCTATGACCTGAGGCAGCCCTTCAAGTGTAACGAAAATACAATAAAAAGGAGAACAAAATGCAGCAACTAAAAGGCAGCCAGATGGTGGTGGTGGTGGTGTCGTCTTCCACCCCTAAAGCAGCAGTGCAACCCACTGTCACTGGTGTTCATGCCCAGCCGTGGATTAAGGGCTCAAGTCGTTGGATGTCGTTGTGTGTGTACTATTCTAGTGGTTGTTGCAAGTGTTAGGTGGAGCCCCATTACAATATGGTGTTAAGGCAGCGGCGATAGCAGCGAAGAGACAGAGCAGAGCCACAGGCCACACTGATGCCAAACTAAATGCAACAAATCACTAAATAAGTCTTCCAAACCTAGCCAGTAATTAATTAGTCGTCTAAGTCGTGAAGTGGAGTCAAGAAGTGCGCATAGAGCCAACAGTTGCGGCAAACGGAGTAAACCAACAAGGCATACAATTCTTATGCGAATCGTTTTATAATATTAAGGCTAATCCAATGTCTCCTAAAAATTATCCGACGTCTTCCATAACGATAAGCAACAACAAAAAATGTATTGAACTTGCATTCGGATAATGCGGGGCATAATGTAGTCAAATCAAACGAATGTGAAGCCAAACCCAATGCTAATCCATCGTCTTCCAATAACCGATGAAAATTTATATATTTTTTTACCTATACAAAGAGTTTAAAGAGTCCACTGTCTTCCAAATACATGGATTTATAAAAAAGTAATCATATATATAAATATTAAATAAACTAAACGCGAATATAGACGAATTAACATTCGGGTAAAATCCACTGTCTTCCGTAATTAAATGTGGAAATTAATATTTGAATAATCATAAAACGAAAACTATAAAGAACTATTTTTTTCAAATTTTATAAATATTAAAAAAAGTTAAAATATAAAATAAAATATATAAAAACAAAAACAAACCCAAAATGCTCTCCTCGGAAATCTACACCAATACGACCACCTCCACGGCTATGTCGGCAGTGGGGATAACTTCAGCTGCTGCTGCTTCTGCTTCTGCTGCTGCCTCAGTGGCAACCACAACAACAACAACAGCCACCACATTGCAAGTGGTGAAAGCGAGAAAACGCCGCAAGCGTCGGAAACGCGCAGGTCACGCAATTGGTGCCGCCTCCACCACCACCACCATCACAGCTGCTGCCGCCACAGCCAGCCACCTCGGCAGTCCCCACACCCACACACACCCCCAAGCAGGAAGCGTTTCCCTACCGACAGCAAACGGTGGCAGGAAGTGCAAGGCCCAATACTTCCAGCACGACAATCGGGAGTACTTGGCAAAGTACGAGAGCTTTCAACTCACGGCGCACCACACGGCATCGGGCGCAGCTGCGCTGAACTATGCGGCGGTGGCGAAAAAGTTCAAGCCCTTGCGGCCGGCGTTAACAAGCGGCGCCAAGAAAACCAGGCGACCAGGAATGCCCAGAAAGTCGAACCCTGACTGCGCCTGCGCCTGCCAATCCGCAGTGACGGAGCCGGCCGCGGAACCCAGCCAGCGAACAGCTGTTGCCACGCACCAGGACTTGCCACTGTCCACGTCGCAGTGGGGAAACGGAAGCGCAAACGCGAACGCATCAAAGATCAATATCGATGGCCACATACTGCTCGAGCTGCTGAAGCACTCCTCGAACACATTGCTGGAGACACTGCTCGGTGCTGGCAGTGCTGTGTCATCGAGGTAGCACCTTATTTGCACAGCTTTACTTAAAACCCATGACTTGAGCCTTGATAGCCTGTTCTGAATTTTACTAACGCAATCTCATGTTGTTTCTTATTGCAGTGCTCGCGACACCCATCAGATAGCCGAGGCACAGCAGCAAAAGAACGCAAGGCTGCGCGAGGCCTTCAACATATCCAGCTACTTTGTGGAGGGCAGCAGCTTCGACAACGATCGCAAAGCAAAAGAGGATCTGGCCAAAAGCGTGGCTCTTCAAAAGGAACTGGACGCACAGCGCGAAAGCCTGGCAGCGGCGGCAGCGGCTGCAGCAGCTGCTGCAGGCAAGGACAAGGAGACGGGCAAGCGATATGCTCTGGTCCGTACCCCATCCCGAGAGCGAGAGCGGGATGGAGAGGGCCATGTTGCCGCCGCCAGTGGCGATGAGCGCGAGCATGTCTCAAAGTCGGACAAGAAGAAGCGCAAGAAGCGCGCCAGAGAAAGGTAAGGCATGGAGATTATCCAAAATAAAGGTGATACTAAATGGCAGGTTTTTCCCTTTTTCTGTTCTTTTCCTTAGCTCTGCCAGTCCTGAGCGCAAAAAGGACAAGAAAAAGAAGTCAAAGAAGCACAAGAAAGAGAGGTAAGCAATAGACTGAAGCCCAGATCCTGCAGATCCTGCGGCCTTCAAACAGTTGTAGCTCTCTGTGTTAGTTTTGTCGTTTCTTTCGTTGCTCCTTGGTTGGACTCTACAGTCATGAACTTTTTCGGTTTATCCTTTAATCCTTATCGTACATAGTCCATAGTAAACTGTAAACAATTTGTGCCTAGAGCGTGACAAAAAAAAAACATAAAAACCAAAGAATCTTTTGTAACTATCAAACTATCAAATTGCTTAATACATTTTGTGTTTTTCGTCTCTACTCCTTCTTTTACATTGCATTTGAAACCACAAAAGGGACTCATATGAGAAAGAAAGTAAAAAAAAGCGAAAAGTTATGTACAAATGAAATACACACTTAGTTATAAACGAGATCCTACACTTAAACACACACACACACACACACACACACAACCACACACAGAACCATAAGAACCAATTAAATCAATCCAATCAATGAAGTGAAATTAAATGAAAATGAAATGTGTTTCAAATGCGCCTCTCTGCAATATATACTACTTTCGATATCCTAACATTTGCCAAGACAATCTTTTATTTGAATCTGTGTGCAGCGGGGAGTGAGTAGATTTATCAGGGATCTGATTTACTATTGATGTATGTATGATGGGTCGACTAATAGCTAACAACACGATTCCCACTCTAACACACAAACCATATCATACCATCCAATCCATACTAATCTCCAATCCCACACAATCTTTGCATCATTCACATTTTCCCCAAAAAAAAAAAAATCTGCCCGGCGGTAAGTAATAATTCGATTCTACAATTCTTAACAAAACTTTAGTTGCCAAAAGAACAACCTCTGCATTGCGAACAAACAAGAACAAAAAAGAAAACTAGAATACAATATTATACATTACAAAAAATATGATACGATACGATACCATAAAGTCTAAGAGGTCTATCTCTATCTCTCTCTCTGTTAAGGAATGCAAAGAAATATTTTTGTGTGTCGCAACAATTAAAAGCCAATTACTTTCTCATCTTTCTTTCTATTATTATGATTACCTTCTTTAATGTTAAGACAATGCAATTTGAGCAGTTTTCGATGAAGGTAAAGCACTAAACCACAAGTAAAACCTATTTCTTAACATTTGCTGCTAAAAACCAGTATCTTGGAGCTGTGCTGTGTGCACCGGTTCCCCCATAACGCCTCGTCCAAATAAATGTGTGTTGTAGCCAGCACAAAATGTCACTATCAAAGAAAAACACACACTCCCACCACCAACCCAGGAGATCTACTAATCCCCTGTCCCCACTACGATTCTACTTGCAGTAAGTCCAAAAAGAAGAAGTCCCGCAAGCGCAAGCACAGCGCCAGTTGCACCGACAAGGAAACCGACAAGGACAGCGACGAGGAGGCGGCGGGCAGCAGCGATGAGGAGCGCGACCGCGATCGTGAGCTAAAGAGCGCACGCAAGAAAGCCAAGAAGGACAAGGTATGCATAAGCTCCGTCTGAGGATACCCACTAACATCAAAAAGAGCTAGCGGAGAGCGAAGAGCGAAGAGAACTGTGGAAAGAAGGGCTTGCATGTGTCACTGTGATTCACAGAATATACAATATATCCCATACATTAATATACTACCTGTCTATCTCATGAACACTTCTAATGAACTCTTACCTCTAACGCTGTTTCTCCAACTATTTCTCCATTCAAAATCAAATTAAACCCATTAATGATGTAACATATATTTATACCGACTAATCAAGCAATCATTACTTCTGACTCACCACCAAAAAAAAAAAAATATTAATAATACAATCCAAATGGAAGTACTGGCCTCTCTCTCTATACAATATATATTTATTCAAATATTTATTACCTGTATATGATGATAACTCTTGTTTGACTTTTCGTTTCGTTGTTTCAATTGTTCACCAAAATATTAAACATGCGCCATTTCTTCTCTTGCTTATTTACTTCTTTTTCCACCAAAATGAAACATTCAATAATAACGATTGACAAAAAATAACCACTCAGTGCTTACTGAACTATATAAATCCTGCATACAAAACGTTAACATTGTATATCCTATAAATACTAAAGCATACAACTTAATTAGTAATCGAACAAAGAAAAATACAAATCAGAAATATCACCCAAAATATTTTCGAAAGGTAAAAAGGCTTCAAACGCATTCACAATCTAGTATAACCCTATGATTTATTTAATCAATGGATTCTCTTTCTTTTCCTTTTTGTTCCAATTATTGCTAGACGAAAATTATTTGAGAGAGGCTATCCTCGTAACGATCTAATCCAGCGGTGAGCTTGCACTTCCTTCCTATTGCGCCGAGATTTATTCTTCGACAAAGTGAAAAGTTTGTGACTCGCTACCGAGAATGCAAGAACGAAATACACACCGTGTGCGAAACGCTACTGCCAAACTCCAAAAGCGTGCCCGCCCACCGCTGATTTAATCCAATATGTTCTATTCATATTTTACTTCGAAATTTCAAAACTATGGATGGCCTCTGTTTTTTTTTTTTGTATTCAATATTAATTCGTATCGCTTTTGATTTTAACGTAGCTTGTGTTTTTTTTTTTTTAACCAACAATCCAAAACCAATTAGTTTAAGTAAATTTTGAAGAAACGAAAAAGAAATTTATATTTTGTTTATAAAAACCCTTGGCGCTTCATTGATATAGGATAGCTTTCAATGGCTCTCTTGTAGTTTTGTAAGTACTTTCATTTGACTGTTTTCCTTAAGATACTAATACTCCAACAATCATATGATAACTAGTGTGAAGTGATAAATGTTGATAAATGATAAATGAACAAGAATACATTTGTACAAATTCAAGAAAAAAAAGCGAAAATGTTTTGCACCAAACCGAAACTTCATATGTCTATCATGCGCCATAATGAATGATCGTTCGATCTTTTAAATATATATTGCTAAAAGTTAGACTCTTAGCAAGATCGAATACCAAGCGAACGATTATTAATGATCTTATCTTTTCTATTATGCAGAAAAAGCGCGACAAGAAGCTGAAAAAGAAGTCACGGGCCCGTGCCAGCTCCTCGGACTCGGAGCCCTCCAAGTATGTTGAAAAAGGTGCTAACATATCACTTTAAACTAATTTGAACATTTTATTTTTCAGCTCACCGTCGCGTAATGAACGCAAAGGCAAGAAGTCGGGCAAATCCCGCGATCCAACAGCTACCAAAGCTGAAGACAATGGCACATCGCGGGAGAATCCCTTCCGGAGCAGGTCCCGCGAACGTCGCAGGGAATTAAAGCGGCCCAACGAATCATCGGCCGACGGTCGAAGGGACAAGCGCGAGCGTAGCGATAGTCGCAGTCGACGTCCCAAGTCCAATGAACGGGGGGCAACCACCCGTACTCCACCTCGCAAAGAGCCGGAAAGAAAGCGCGAACGTTCTAAGGAGAGACTTCGATCAAAAGAAAGGCAACGATCAAAAGAAAGACAGCGATCAAAGGAAAGACTTCGTTCGAAGGAAAGACAACGCTCGAAAGAAAGACAGCGATCAAAGGAACGACCAAAATCGAAGGAGAGACAGAGGTCGAGGGAAAGACAGCGATCGAAGGAGAGGATCCGCTCCAAAGAAAGACAGCGTTCAAAGGAAAGGCAACGCTCTAAAGAGAGGCAAAAGTCTAAGGATAGACAGAGATCTAAGGATAGGCAGAGATCTAAGGATAGGCAGAGGTCAAAAGAGAGACAGAGGTCAAAGGAGAGGCAGCGATCAAAGGCGAGACTTTATTCGAAAGAGAGACTGCGATCCAAGGAGAGGGCGCGATCAAAGGATAAACCAGTAGTTGAAATCAAGCGCGACAGATCAAAGGATCGCCAGCGATCAAAGGAGAGGAAACGATCGGTGGATAAGGCACCCTCGAAGGAGAGAGATATGTCCAAAGGTCGACAAAGATCAAAGGAGAGACAGCGCTCCAAAGAAAGACGACGTTCTAAGGATCGCGGTCAACAATCGAATGAGAAAAAGCGTTCCAAGGAGCGACAACGATCAAAAGACCGTCAACGATCCAAGGAGCGACAGGGAGTGCCAAACCTAGCCGTCTCTAAGGAACGTACACGGCGCCAGAGATCGCCATCGACCTCGGCCAAAAATTCAACAGATAATCGCAAGCCTACTCGCAGTTCTAGATCACTTTCCCGTTCCCGCAAGCAGCAGTCGCCGGCCGCAGTTGTCGGGAGCAGCCGACGCAGTCATTCCCCAGAGGTGCCACCCAAGAAGGCTGCGCCACCGGCATTCAATCCCTTTAAGGCTGCAGAAGACACTGTGAACGATATACTGGGCACCAAGTCGGTGATTGTAGAACTGGAGAAGACCAAGCGCAAGCGGGCAGTCTCCAGCTCTAGCTCGGCATCGGGTAGCTCCAGTAGCAGCTCGTCTGCATCTCGGACACCTTCGCCCAAGCCCAAGCCTGGAAAACTGCGACGACGCAGCAAAACACCCGATCCTATCAAGAAGGAGAGGAGCCCCAAGCGAGATCGTCGTACCCCGCGCCAGACCAGCGTGAAGCGTGAACGTTCAAGCACTCCACAAAAGCCCAAGCCAAAGGGAAAGGCGACCACACCCAGTCCGAAGCCAGCAAAGCGACGCTCGCACAGCTCAAGCTCTTCGGAACTGCGCTACTCGCCAGCAGAACGACATCCAGAGCGCTATCAGGACATCATACAAGACAAGAAGCGGCCATCGAAGGCACGCGACCTTTCCACAACGAAGCCCGCGCCCGTGGTGCGCCTGAGGGCCCAGAGCGATGACGGCAGCGATGCCGATGCGAGTGGCTCCAATGTGGATGCAGCAGCACTTGACGAGTTCCAGCAGAGCAAGCAAGAGCGCGAGGAGCTGCAGGAGCTGCGTATGCTGGAGCAGCTCAAGTCGGGGATCGCCGCCAAGGCAAAGCAGAAGATCAAGACTATGGAGAAGAACGGAGACGCCAGCAAGGACTCTGCCAAGGAGGGCAGTGAAGTAAGTGGCAACGAACTGGTGACGGCTACTAAACGTAATTCGCTAAGTGAATTCCTTGTTGCTAACAATGTAACCGCTTTGATTAACCCATTGACAACGACAACGACTACGACAACACCCCCGCCACTCATGGCTGTGATCCTACCGCAGGCACAGCCACATCCGCAGCTACAAGAGCAGAAGCCGCAGCAGCAGCATCAGTCTGTGGAGGAGCCAAACCAAAAAAGAGACGACACCACGACGCCGCCCATTTGCAAAGCGCCCCAAGTGGCTGCCAATGGCGACGTTAAAAGTCCACCAGCAACGAACATGATAACTAAGATTCATCAAAGGCCTCCACAGCAGCAGCAGCAGCATCAGCAGCAGCAGCAGCAGCAGCACCAGCCCCACCAGCAGTCGCATCAACATCAGCATCCACACCAGCAACAGCATTCGCACCCACACCAGACGAAGCGAATCTTTCACAACCGAACGCTGAACAATAACCCTAACAGTAGACATAATACTAACAACAACAATAGCAACAACAACATTCATGCATGTGGTGGTGGTGTCCCTCATTCCAATAGCAATCCCGGTATGCTGCCGTTCCTGGCCGGCACGCCGGGCACCTACAACCGCACAACGAACCGCCTTAACCACGGTCCGCTGCTGACGGCCACCCATTACAATATATGCAAGAACCATCAGAACAGCATGCAACAGCAAGCTCTGCTCGGTCGACGCGACCACCAGCAGCAGCATCTGGCGCATGGTATTGTCTATAACCCTAGTCTCTTCGGCCTTGGGCAGCAGCAGGCTTTGCTGGCCGCTGGCGGCCAACATCATGGACGTCATGCCGTTGGGGGCCTTTTGGGCCTGGGCGGTGGTGGCGGACCTGCTGCGGGCCTGGCCTTGCTTAGTCATCCCCAGCATGCGAGGACCGGTAGCATTAGTTTCAACGCGGCTGCAGCGGCTGCGGCCGTGGCAGCCAATAGTATAAGCTATCATCATCATCACCAGCAACAGAAACCGAAAATTGTAATAAAACCATTCAAACTTCTGGATCCACAGCCCTTAGTTGCTGCACTCGCCGACAGCAGTCTGGTGGACGCCATCGTCTCCAAGGTGTCCACGGCCACTGTGGCTGCAGCGGAGAGTGCAGCTCGTCGAAGTCGGAGTCGTTCACGCCGCAGCAGTCACAGCCGCAGCAAGCGGCACACGAGTGGCAGTCATCATCATCATCACTCCAGTAGTCGCTCAAGATCGTAAGTGTCCCCATGTTGTTTTTTGGCACACAATGAATTTACACTCTTTTTTCTATCCCCACAGACGCTCCAGCTCCAGCAGCAGTGCCAGCGGCTCGCGCAGTTCTAGGTCCCGCTCTGGCTCGCAATCATCTCGTTCCAGCTGCTCATCCCAAAGCAGCTCGGGCAGCTCCTCCAGCAGCGGCTCAGGCACATCACAGTCTGGCTCACGTTCCCCATCTATACCACGGCGTCGGGGCTCACCCAGCTTTCTAGACAGACGTCGCATTACGAGGTAGTTGAGATGCAAATAGCACGAAATTTGTTATACAATTCATTTTGATTTTTTTATATTAATATATTATTTTAATTGATTTACTTAATTTCCCGTAGCCGTCGGCCGCCGCCCAGCACCAGACGCTAGTTGCTTTCCATTGAACTTTGTGTTGCATTGATTTCCCAATTTGTTTAAATACGGCACCTGATTTTATTTAATTGATCTTGATTATTCTTTTTTCCAGCTGACTCAGGAACTACTTATAGTTTGATTTTCAAATTTATTTCTTCCTTTCAATGCAATACATATATTTGTGTGTGCTTGTAAAATTTTTGTTCTGATTATTTCTCGTATTTAGCGCAAGATCCATTGATTTTGTGGTACACACGCCAATAAAACATGTCATCTCTTACATCTTATTGTTTCCTAGGACATAATTTCTATAATTTATTTTTAGCGAATTTTTATTGTGTTGATTACAATTTTCAGTTGGTGAGTTATCAGCATAGTAGTCCCCTAATCTCAGTTGAGGAAATACCTGCTTTAATATATCCCGATCTATATTCACAGTGCTCGCAAGCGACCCATTCCCTACCACCACAAGGCAGCCGGAGGCACTGAGGGGGGTGCTGCTGAAGCAGAGGAGGCCTCCAGCTGCTGCTCGAGCTGCTTCAGTCGGGCCAGCACACCGGCCACGCCCATCTGCACTCCGCTGCGCAACAGTCGGAGCCCCTCGATGGCCGCCTTTTGAGTGTTAACCGATTCGCTGCGCAAAATGTGCGGCGAGTCGTGAGCGAAGGAACACCTAGTGTATCGCACTAGTCAGACTTTTAGTCGCAAAGGAACTCCTAGTGAATCGCACTAGTCAGACTCATAGTCGCCACATGCACCATACTCCTGAAACCACTAGGATAAGATAGTTGTTATGCCGAAGGACATTTGTTTTACACGCATTCCCCCGACACTTAGTTAGATATTTAATTTCGCAGTCATGTGCCCGGAATTTACTAGCGAAATTATATAGTAGCCACGATATTATGCCAATAATACTCGTTTATAAGCCTCTAATCGAATTATTTGCTAATTTTAAGCTGAGTTTTAAATAAATATATTATTTGTTGCCATCTCGAATGATCTGTGTAAATGTATACGTTTATTTTTTGCACGTAAAAGATACAAATATCAAGGGCTTTACTATATCCAGGCGATAAGGCTGTCTGTGCCAGTAGCTATTGCTTATCTTAAGCCCACACACGAATCGCGCAAACATACCCACTCGCAATAGTTTTTGCAATCTAGAGCAATATGCCTTTCTTCGTTTAAACGCAACGAAGATAAAGCCAATCGTAATCTAGTTGGTAATCTGAATATTAAATTAAAGCAATAGCCAGTGCAAGACGTGGAAATCAAATAAAACTTTCGACTTTGTAAACACGGTTGAAAGTAACTTAATTATAAAAAAAGCTAAAGCAACATTAATATAGTTGAAAAGTCTTGGGGTCCCCACTGGAATGTTTATTTCGACTTGTCAGCAGCCTGCTTATTCGCGAAGCGACGACGCTTCTTGGCAATGTAAACTACCCAAATGAAGGAAATTATGGCCATACTAATGGAACGGAACATGGGCGGCACATAGGCAAAGTTCAGGTACACAAACAAGGACAAGTACTGCCAGTTGGCCTTCAGCAGGGGCAAATACAGTTTTTCGACACTCTTAACAGCGGTGCCGTGGGAGTTGCCCTGGAAAATATCAGGTGTTATAAAGAAAACCGCCTTAAAGAATGAAGAGTACGAACCTCGAACAGTGTCAAGAAGTAGAGCGAAAGCGCCTGGTAGATGGGGGCGTAGACTAGTCGTTCAGACAAGAACAAAAAGAACTTCCTGAAGCGCAAGTCATGACTGAAGAGACGCTCCACGGTCTGGTAGAAGTAGTGGGGGACACTTCCACCGAAGAGCAGGCCAAACAGTCCATACGCGAAGGCGCTGTTCTGGTTCAATTTCTTGGCTCCGGCCAGACGCTGCGAGGTCACATTGGCCGAGGTGGCCAAAATACACCTGAAACATGTCGACCCCGTTAGACGTCAAGTGCTTTATGGTTTACGGGCGGGTGGGGAGAGGGTGATAAGCGTTGTACTCACGCCGTTATGGACTTCGTGCGAACCGGATGATTGAAAAGTTGTTCCAGATAAGTGCCAAAGAGCGAAAAAAGTGGCTTCGAGAGGGACATCTTGCTATGGCTTATGTCTGTAATTGAGAATGATGTCGTTCCATATAATGCAGATTTCGCGGGCTAAAGTGCAAAGTGCAACTCGAAGAGCTGATAACAAAAATAACCGGTTTAAGACCCCAGCCTAAATTACCCAAGGAGACCAAAGTGGTGGAGCGTAACTAATCGACTGTCAATCCACGATAAGCACCTGTGGATTTTTTATTAGCATTAATTATTTTAATAAAAGTGCAGGAACTATCGCATAGTGTCCAATCGATTAGAAAAGTTCTAGGAAATATCGATACCTATCGATATCGATCCAATAAAAGCAAGTATTTAAAATAAACCAGTCAAGTAGAAAATAAGTTCATTAATTGGATAAAATATGTTGGCAAGGCTGAGAGATCCATCTAGCTATTAATATTCGACGGAATATCACAAACGAGGATATGTACAATAAAACTTGAATTCGTCAGTATATTTACGGTATATTTTTAAATTGACACGATATATTTTGGTATATTTCTAAGGTATAAATATTGTCAGTATATTTGTTCGATCCACAGTCACATCCACTGTAACTAAATAACACAGGACTTACTTGTACGATCCTTTGTTTAATTGTCTGCTCTGCTAAAATTGCGATGGAGTTTCCACCATGTCCTCCTTCGCTAAAGTCCATTCAGCACTTCCTGAAGCTGGCCCAGGAGCACGACAATCGCGACATTGTGATCGCCTACTGGGCAAGAATTTAGTGAGTACCTTTGTTTTTTTTTTTACAAAACGAATATTAATTGTTTCATCTACTGTGCAGTGCTCTGCAAGTAGGCCTAAAGGCCTCCACGCAAACCGGGGAGGAGACAAAGCTTCTGCTGGGTAAGCGAAAACACAAATACGCAAATTGCAATTATGACTCATCCGTATTTGTTTTGGGTTTCCCTACGGCTCGCAGCTATTATGGATTGGTTGGAGCTCATGAAGAAGCAGCATGCCGACAACGAGGCCTTGACCCACGAAGTGCCTGCCCAGGCACACATCGAAAACTATGCTCTGAAATTGTTTCTTTACGCCGATAAGCAGGACCGTGAGGAGAACTTTGGCAAGTGAGTTTCAAGTCCTGCATAATTGACCCCGGTTACGGAATATAACGTTCTCCGTTTTCAGAAATGTAGTAAAGGCCTTCTACTCCAGCGGTGTGCTCTATGATATACTGCAAACCTTTGGGGAACTGAGCGAGGAGGCAATGCAAAATCGCAAGTACGCCAAATGGAAAGCCGCCTACATACACAACTGCCTGAAGAACGGCGAGACACCCATACCCGGTCCCCTTCCCGATGACGACGACGAAGCTGAATTTGCTGAAGACAATCTATCCCCTGGAGGTAATGGCGGTAATGGCGGGGCTAGTAGCTCTGCAATTACGCCACCCGAAAATGAAGCCGCAGCCTTCCAGCCCGAACCGGTGCAACCGCCCACTCCGTCGTCACCGACATCCAATATAACGCCTCCCACTGCCGAGGAGGTGCTTAATAATCCGAACAAATTGCCCAGTCCCCCGGTCGATGAGGAAAAGCCAGGAGGTTTTGAACCATACGTGCCCACAGCGCAGCCAAATCCGGCCATCGCTGCCACCATTTACCAGCCCATTGTACCGGCTGTTGGCGTACACATCACTCCAGATCAGATGATCACAGCGCAGAAGTATTGCAAATACGCGGGCAGTGCCCTCAACTACGACGACGTGACTACGGCCATTGAAAACCTGCAGAAGGCATTGAAGCTGCTCAGCACTGGCTCCGAGTAAGAGGACCCTCACATATATAGATGTAATGCACTGATGTTATAGCTTAGAGCACGCACTCTTGACCAGTATAATACCCATAACTATAATCTCCACTGAAATTGTGAGTTGCTAATTAATTACAAATACATTTAAAACGACTGACGTTGGAAAATTTAATTTTAAATATGAGTTGTTCAAATTTATTAAAATTGTTTCTAAAAGGATGGCGCCGCCATTGAATGCGCCGTAATTTCAATTATATTTCGACTATATTGGCTGCCGTGCCCGAGACGAAGTTGGAGTTTGAGTGCGAGTACAACTTGATTTTGATTTGATTTATGCTTGAATGTGTAACTAGTCGTCTCGTCTGGTCTTTGTCATTGTCTTTATAATGTAGCTCTACTATTACTCATATAGTTATTAGTTAATATCGTTTTCCATTCTATATATATAATATTTCTGCATATGATAATTGTTTGGCACCAAAGTGAAACATGAACATGAATTTCGATTTCCCTAGAATGATGATGTGAATGAATTTCTAACCCGAAGATTGTGCGCCAATCGTTTTAGAATCCAACTTAAAGTGCTACAAAAAAAGCTGTTTACAGGTGTGTGGCAATGAATGTGTGGATTGGATCAATGAATCAGTGAATGACTATGATACTATGATTGCTATAATCGCTGGCAGCCTCTAATCTTGCTTGACGCCGTTCGCTGGTGCTTGAGTGGCCGCCGCCATTTCATCCTGCAGGCGGGCTGTCTGATACCAAACCACCAGTCGGCCCCCCAGCATGAAGGTGAACACCAGCGCCGGTCCAGAGCGCTCGAACGGGTCACTGACCATCCAGTGCTGGTAGATTCCCAGCAGCATCAGCACCAGCAGCGTTACATTGGCTACGTTCTTGACTTTATCTGTGGTAAAAACACAAATATTAGTGAGGTATTCTCTAGTGTCATTCTTTGCTCTACTTACGATAGGGAATCAGCGCCATGGCCAGTCCGCAAACGATCTCCAAAATGCCAATTGTGCGTCGATACCATTTCGAGGGGATTTTCACTCCAAAAAGGGCAGTAAGTGGAAATACTTTCGCATACTTAACGTACTCTGTGCGCTGAAATTGGGAGGGAAATAGAATATGAGCATGGGGATATAATTAATCATTCCTAGAACCGAACCCCTCAGTGGCATATATTTCGACCAGCCCAGCAGAAGGCAGTGCAGCATGTTTATTTTTAAATGAAAACAAACTTTTCTTTTTGTCAAATTTTTATAGAAACATGTGTGCTTGTAAGTATGTATGTATGATTGTGTTTTATTTGGCATCGGCTGTCCCCCCAAGCCAAGTGTTTGTGGTAATACGAAGGTAATTACACGTTTGGGAATTGCCACAGAGATTCTTCAGACGAAAATATTTCTAAATTAACATACCCTACCAAACAAAATGATAAAAGACATGAGAAATGAAAGTAAAATGGCGCGAGACCAATGCAATGCCAAATCGAAAACATTCGTATAAAAACAAATGCATGATAACCATACATATGTAAGTATATATAAGTAAAATCCGAATATATGTACATACATACACATGTACGTACCTAAATTTGATTTGGGAGTGAACGTCATTTGGGGTAGTTCTGAGGCATTGTTTGCATTGTGGCATGCAAAGAATTTAGTAATGAAAATTATAACTATGGGGGTGGGGCTTAGTTTTTTACAGAAGGTAAACAAATAAATAAGCAACAACTTCTATACCATAAATCTTTCAGAAGTCTATGATGTATATATGTACATATGTATATGTATACATAGCAAGGTAAGAATTGTTATTATTGAAAATATTCACAGAGATTTTGCATTTCCTCAAACCTCTAAATTCCAAAAATTCAAATATTATTCGGCCTCCATGAGTGAAATCTGCCAAATATCTTTCTCATTAGGCGTTACGCTTAGATCTTCACTCAAACCACAAAGCTATTTGGATAATAAAATCATATATTTTCAGATTTCTTGAAATATCTTTGAAGAACATTGTGTTTATGAAAATTTGAATGCCAAAGTTTGGCATTGATTTGGGTCGAGTTCAATGCCCATTAGACAGTCATAATCGTATTTATAAGTAGAAATAAGTAGTATTATGAGTTTCTTCTCAGTGCATTTCCATTTATATAAGAGCTCTTTTAGAGACATAGGAATGAACTTTATAGTGCATCCCTTGATCTGGAGTAGGGCCAGTGGAAGTACATCCACATACATATAATGAAAAATCGATGAGCCGCAGCGCACATGCCGCCTAAGGGAAATGGAACCCCAACCCCTGAAGACCGTTAGAATCGATTTTCCACTCACCAAATCCTTGTAGAGATCCTTGCTGATGGCTGGCGTCAGCTTCAGGGTTCCGACAAATATGAAGAACAGTCCGAGCAATACGGAGAGGCTCTTCAGCACAATCGTGTTGGATGTGGGCATCTTGTGCGGTCTGCTTCTGCTCTCCAACGATTTATCGGTAAACACCCTTGGTGGATGGTATGGCTTTTCCTATCTTTGATATATTTATATAGGTATGTATCCCGAATATATATTATTCACAAGGGGGACAGGGCAGCAAGTGTGGGGCGCGCGCGCACCTCTCGAAGGGGTTGGGGGGCGTAGTTCACTGGGATCCCATATACTCGTACAAACAGCACCCTAAAAAAATACACCGGTCGCTAAATTTAGCCCACGTCGCAGCTTTTTCGTGCCGAACGGAAAAGTACAACAGCAACAGCAATTTCAAGCAGAAATTTGAATGTTTTGCAAACCGCTTTTTGTAGTATGTATAATTTTATGAATTCCTTTTCTGCGGCGTTCCTGAGCGTTTTCTCGGCTGCTGTTCCTCGTCCAAACGGCACGGCGCGCTCGCGTTCGAAAAGAGACTGAGGCGCGGACCAGTTGCAAAGTTTATTTCGGCAGCATCCGAAGCAAAATGTCAGAAAATCAATATAGTACATAGATATGCTCACATGCTCGGTCGGTGCTCGCAAGTAGTAGGGCGACGCGATTCTGCCTCTCAGCAGCAGCAGCAGCAGCAGGGAGAACGGCAGCTGGACTGTATGTTTAGGTGGTTGGGAGGTTGGGTGTTGGCAATGGCACTGGTGGTGGTTGGTTGGAAAACTGTCGTAATTAAGGCCGAAGACCCCGGCTACCCCGACACAGTAAGAGCGACACAACCCTTAAGGAGCACAAGCAAAACAATCATTAAATGACATGAGAAATATGTATATTCAGAAGGTACTTAAATTTTTACTTAATCTACTGGTAATGAAGGTGATTTTACAAATCGGTCATCCAACGATTGTGCTATATTGCATTTCGAAATCAAACCCCTAGCATCCCTACCATCCCATCGGTCCACCCGGCATCCCGGGTCCGCCACGCCGAATGTGGTCCTCGGGAGGCGTGTGAGGTACGGGATAGATGCGCTTCGATTCGTTCATGCGTTGGTTGTAGCTCTCGATCTGTTCCCGCAGCTGGACATCTTCCTGCAGGGCGCGCCCCTCGTCAAACTCCAGTGTGGCGACGCCGTCCAATCGATCCAGATCCACCCAGCCGCGGAAGCGCACACAAACTCCGTTCATAATGAAATGAGAGCGGAGATGCACTTTTCCGCGCTCCCGCTCAAAGTCGCACTCCTGGTCCTGGGCATAGGGATTGTGGTTGGCATTGAAGTAGAGCTGGACGTTGGTGCCCGATGTGACAAAGGAGAGCTCCGCATAGCCCTTCCGGCAGTCGTTGACAAATCTCATGCGGCGCTCGTCTATGGCACGCTCCCTGTATCCAGTATAGCGAACCTCGGTCTCTCGACAAAGACGCCGGAACAGCTCATCGCTATCGTACTTTGATTTCTGATCGGGCACAACTCGGGGCATTTTGAAGATGAAGCGGGGCTTGGGTTGCTCGTACATCGCCATTGCTTCATATGGCGGAAGCATGCCCGGCATGGCAGCTGCGTCTCCTAGATTTTGATGGTGATGCATTTTCTTGTTACTGCACTCTGCAAGTAGAGAATATTGACTGAACTCTGTGGAAATATTCGTGATTATATATACCCTATAAGAAGACCATGGCTTGGTACTTGGTTGTGTTGTGCGCTACCTGAAATGTTTTATGATTCAATTGAGCAGCTGCGGTAAGCATTCGACAGGTAAATATATAAACAGGTAAACGCGTTAGATCGCATATAATTGTGGCACTTATACATCTAGTTTTAAAGAAAACAAATGGCTTAACGGCCCGTACAACAGTGTTGGTTAGCGCCACAGTAAAACTAAGTGGCAACGATTTATGTCAGATCAGGTGGCAGCTCTATGCATACAAATCAGCTGCATTTTGTATTTTGTTATTAAACTAAAATATTAAATAAGCATGTCTCTTGTTGCTTATGCCGCCAGCAGCGATGAAGAGTCCGAGAATGAAGACGATAACACTGGGCCACAAGTGGAACTGATAAGACCGCAGTCTACGACGAATACAACAGGAACAGCCGCGCTGCCCGTGAAAGAAAAGCTATTTAATGGTCATATTAGTGACGAGGATGATGACTTTGTACCACAAGAGGCGTCCTTGCAGCAGCTAAAAATCACCAGTGGTCGACTGTCGCTAGCCCTACCCAAGCCAAAAGTGGCTTTTGAGGAGATTCAAGAGGAAGATGTACACGAACAGGTGACACTCCCGTTTGCCAAGCTGCCCATGCCACGCGCAGCAGCGGTAGGCAAAGTCTTTATAGAGGAAAAGGACGATGAATTCCTGCACAAAAAGCCCGTGCCAATCGAGGGCGATGCGTTGGAAAAGCCTCCGCCTCCACCAGTCAAAGAGCGTGTTAAGATTAGCATACCATCGCTGAGGGACTTTTCGGATGTGGACAAGGAAAAGGCAGAGAAATTAAAGAACAAAGACACCAAGCCCAACATGCCCAAAGGATGTGGACTGTTAAGTCTATTGCCACAAGCCAAGTCTGAGCGTAATTTCGCAAAATCCTCATCAGCAGAGGCTGCAAAACCTACCACGAACACCGCAACTACTCCAAAGTCAACGAGCACAATGCCACAGCCTCGTGCTACTGCTCCAGCCTTTGTGCCGGATACAGTGAAGCACCGCCGCGCTGCCCACAATACAGAAGGAGTTGATGGCGTGAAATCATCTGCTAAGAAGCCTTTACCCAATACCCAAGGGGCTAGTGTCGCCCAAAACCAGCAAAAGAAGCCTTCAGCCGCTCTGGTGAATGTAAGCGATAGTGATGAGGATGATGACGAAGGTTCTGGGGACTTTTTCTCGCTAAACACAGAACAGAAACTTCCGGAGGTGAGCAGCAACGAAATCAGCGCCTTGGTAGCCAAGCGGGCTGCCAAAATGGTGGAGGCAAGCGGCAAATACCTGGACGAGATGGCCGCTCGTGATGCGGCCGAGGCAGCAGAAGCAGAGGCTGCTCGACTCCAAGACGAACAGATGCTGCACGCACAAAAGCGCTATCATGAACAACAGCTTGATCCGGAAGCCATGGATGCGTTGGTGGGAAAGAATGCCAAGCGCCGTCGAAAGGAGACTAAGGACATACAAGTGATTGATATATCTGGGTCGCAGGTGCTGCCCGACCGCGAGGAATGGATGCGCACCGCCTTGGCTTCTTCCACCACTTTTCAGCCTACGGGCGTGCTAACGGACGAAGAGCCTGTGGCCGGCACCAGACGCAAGCATCAAATCACTTACCTGGCGCACAAGGCCAAGGCCAACGAAGCCGAGCTCCAGGCAATGTGGTCAGCCAACCGGCAAACTCGACGGGCCACACAAAGCAAATATGGTTTCTGAATTTCCATTTTATTTACGAGCTAACTTAAAAAATACATTTAATGGTACACTAATCCGGGGTTTAATTCAACCAGCCCTCCCGCTTTCCGAGCCTGCTGCCTACATAGAAAATTGCGGTGCTCAGCAGCAGTATTAAAGGGGCAATGGTCACGTAGATGGGAATCTGCTGGGGATATTCCAACGTCAGGCAGATCATTACCTGCGATGTGATGGTCAGCAGCACACCGCCTATGTTCCATTTGTACAGAAGCAGCAGGTCTGTCAGGCGGTTTAGATTCCGCCACTTGCGTATGAATTTTATGATCACGTAGATGATGAGAATGCAGTCGAAGAACCACAGCGGCGTAAAGGTAACAAACCAGTTCCAGGTGGTGCGCGGATCAAGACGCAGGCATAATAGGATGAGGAAGACGAGTACTATGAACCACGTAAAGAGTGCCCGGTGTGCCAGTGTCATTTCCTCAATTTACCTCATCTTTCTTGGGTCCAAATAGTCAAGAATAGGGCTGTTGGATATATGTATTCCAAAATATATATATACATATGTATATTAAAACAAATTTTGTTTACATTGTTGTATGCGGCCAGAGAAAGAGTTCTGTTGAACACCGGAAACTATCTTTCGATATCTTGATATGCCTCGATTTTAATATTCGGTTTAGATAAAAGCACTCAATTTTATCCGATACATGAAAGGTTTTAACGAGACTGGCTAATTTTGAGGTACTCACTTTCATTGCATTATTTAACAAAAAAATTTTCACATAAAATAGAGTTAATTTTGCTACTCGGCAACTACACAGGGATGAAATGGTAATGGAGACACCTGTCCACGAAACCAGTTGCGATACTGCCATATATCGCTCACATCGATGTAATATAAAAATCAAAAACGAATCGAGAGAATTATAATACATTTATCTTATGAAACGTGTAATCTAATCCAACATGTATTCGAAGAATCTCTTGAACACTTCGTTGTCATTCGACAACCTCGGCTATCTTCCATCTTTGGACAACCAAATGCACAAACTGTAACAAATATGTAATGTACGTTAATGGAGTATTTAAAAGACTTTCACGCTGTTAAAACATTTTATTGAACTTAAGAAATATCTTGGTAAAAATCATTTAATCTTTCCGCCTCCCGCCAACCAGCTTCAACGGCACCATGTACTGTGGAATAGTGAGTTTTGCTCGAGGCCTCGCCCGCAAACAGCAATATTGGGTGACCATTGTCACTTATCACAGGAGTCTGCAGATCCCAGGGACCAGTATTCTGCTCATCGGCTAGTGTGGTACGAAAGCTATAACTGCCACGGAAGTTGGGATTGGAATGCCATTGGGTGCGCACAAATCGGTTAGGTTGGGGCACATCAAAGCTGAGAAATTTTCGGAAAAGCCAGCTCAGACCCTCCAGCACCTTTTCCTCCTTGAGAGTCTCCATGTGGCGGGCGTGCTCACCCGCAATCCAAGCCTCCAGCAAGCGAGGCTGATAGGTGACCCGATGACAGCCGCTGATGCTCTCCAGCCAAAAGAGCTCCGAACTGCGTAGCTCCTGCAGATCCTGCTCCATCCACAGACAGTAGAATCCCGCACAATCAGTTGGAAACGGCGGTGCCGCAAACTCCATATAGAATTTGTCCACTGTGCCCAGTTTTAGGCTTTTAATCGCATTAACCTTGGCTGCCGGCAGGGCAGGCACAAACAACGTCTCATGCTGCTCTTGCAGTACTCCCAGGGAGACGGTGCAAATGACATGGTCTGCGTTGAAGGTTTCTCCATCCGAGCACCGAACATTCAAATTGCAAGGACAATCGCAGTTGATCTCAGTAACCTTCTTCTGGAAATGTACACGTCCCTTGAGCACTCCAAGGTCATCGGGCTGATCACTAGCGCTCATCAGAAGTCGAAGGAATCTCTCGAAGCCCTGATCGCGCCAATTCAGCAGCTGATCGCCTTCAGACTCGGCGAATTCCAAATGTCCGCGTCCCGAAACTTCAAGCAAGTTGTCAGAGCCCTCGAAAGAACTTTCGGATCTTTTGAAGCTTTCCAGCATCTCGTTGGCCAGGACGCGGTCGACCGATGGCAACTGCGTGTCAATCTCCTTCCAATATCTTTGTGTCAGATAATCTCCCACAGACCCCTTGTACGGATGGGTTCCGTCTGGTACTGAGCTCGAAGCGATTCCTCTTAAGGTGATAGCCAGCTCCTGAGGTACTTCCTCTTTGTTGGATCGTACGCACCGCACCGTACTATATAAGTCTCCAGTCCGCTCGAGGAGATAGAGATCCTTGACCAGCTCGTGAACGGCATTCCCCTTCTCTCCATGGCACCACTGGGCTCCCAGGTCGACAACATTTTCAGAAAATGGAATGGTGTGTATGCGACCGCCAATCCGGCTCTCAGCCTCCAGGATCTGCACGTTATTGAAGCCCTTCTCCAGGAGACGAGTGGCGGAAGCTATACCAGAGGCTCCTGCTCCAACAACTAAAATTCGGGCGGTTTCTCGGCTCTGACGCATGGCTTAAACAGGATTCAACAAGCTACCAAGACGATCGACAAGATACTGATTGATTTTTCGAGCTGTGTCTGACTTTTGTCGGCCTATTCTGACGATGCTTTGCTCCCATTGCGGTTTTATTCACTGTTCGTTGCACTTATTCTTGTTTTGCAACGCACCTATAGAGTACAACAAGCCGAGTCAGACACATTTGATATGCGCTTTTCGAATAGTCGACTCTCATTGATTATTTTGTAAAACGAGTCTCTTTAAAGAATAATCAGGACAAAGTTCAAAAACCTTCCCATGGGTAATTGATTGGTGTAGGGGATTGCGCGGGAAATACGCCTTTATACGTAACCTCAAACTACTAATCACCATATACTAGCAGATCTAATAACACAGAATACTAATTCGTGATCATCAAAAACTATATTTTTATAAAAATGTCGAGAAAAAATAGTCCTGTCAAAAATTGATTAACGGAGGTTTTTTACACTGGCGCTTCCATGGGGCTTATATAAAAAACGCCAACAATTTTTACAACTGACTGTTTTTCCTTAGACTTTTTTTTTATAAGCAAGTATTTAAAATAAGCCAGTCAAGTAAAAAATTGATTCAACAATTGGTTAAAATTATGTGGGCAGGTCTGAGAGATCTATCTAGCTGGTAATATTCGACGGAATATCAAAAAAGAGGAATATGTACAATAGAACTTGAATTCGTCAGTATATTTACGGTATATTTTTAAAATGAGACGGTATATTTCGGTATATTTATGAGGTATATTTTATCGATAACTCCGATCTGATAATCTGATACGCAGGCACAAATGCAACAACAAAAAGCAAAGAAAATGCATTAAAACTCGTATAACTTATTAACTTACCACGCTTTGATACAATTGAATTCAATTTAGTCAATCCTTAACATAATCATGGCATCCGCTACGGTAAGAAATGTATGTATGCCGCACTAACCCCTAACACGAAGCTTTCAGGTCTGCCAACGACAACGTCAGACAAACTGAGATTCTGCCTATAACACTTAAGTGTCTTTTTAAAGAGTAGGACTAATTTATTAACGTGTTCGCAGGTGCCACTTCTCGATGATGACACGATACCCTTCGGCGAGGAGGATGAAATGCGCGATCCCAGTCGTGCGGGGGAAAAATACACGTAAGCATAACTACCGCAACACTGTATATCTGAAATGTCCTAAACTATCTGCGCCCCTAGGCACCCATACGTCACCTTCTTTCACCTGTTCTTCCGGGGTGCAGCCATCGTGATCTACATGTTCTGTGGATGGTTCAGTGACTCTTTCATTACTAGCTTCGTCTTTGTTGTGCTGTTTCTCTCCGCCGACTTCTGGACGGTGAAGAATATCTCCGGAAGACTTCTCGTTGGGCTGCGCTGGTGGAATTACGTTGATGACGATGGAGTGTCCCACTGGGTGTTCGAGTCAAAAAATGTGAGTCACGCAGCCGTGAAATTCGGACCACTTGCTAATGAAACGTAGTCTGAATCTTACCAGAGCCGCATCAACAAGCACGAGCAGCGCATTTTCTGGCTAGGATTGATACTCTGCCCGGTTTTCTGGGGCCTGTTCTTTTTGATGGCCCTGTTTGGACTGAAATTCAAATGGTTGTTACTGGTCATGATTGCCATAGCCCTAAATGCTGCAAACCTGTATGGCTACATCAAATGCAACTACGGTGCTGGGAAGGATCTGAACAGTGCCGCCACAGACTTTGTCAAGACGCAGCTCTTCAAGAATGCCATGGACATAATGACCAAGCCCAGTACCGCCCAGCCTCCCACAAATGTGCGTCCAACGGGCATAGTTTAAGCACAGAATGCTACGTTGAAGTCAACTTGCCAACTTTTGCTGCAGCGCATTCCAAAGAGTAATTTGATGCTATCATACTGCAAGACGAACTATCCTGGCATGGTATCTCTGTGTGTGTACATTTGTATAACTTAATTTAGCCATACTGCAATTTACTATAACTTTTATTACTTTTACTTTGAGTAAACTAAATGCATGTGTGTGAACTGGACGTTTGATCGTATTAAATTCTACAAATAATCTTAGAAAAATTATTGCGGACTATTTATTTTAAATGAATAAAAAGGAATGTAGACCTGAATAAGTTCACCTTAACCCACCATTAAAAAACCTCTTTGTTTATGATCTGAAATGATCCTTGATTTTTATATGCGGTTTAGAATAATTGTATACTATTATTCTATTAGTTAATAAATTTTCTACAAAATGTATAAAATAAGAGTTAAACGAAAAAGATCAACAAAAATGTCCACTAAATTCATTTTTGTTACCCGGTACTCGAAGAGTTGAGGGATATATGTATTAGTTTTCACTCTTTCTTTTTCTCTTTCTCGCTCTTAATCGTGCAGTGCGCACCGCCTCTCATGGTGGAGGGAAGCGAGACAGTAACACAGCTGATGTTGCTGTGAGAAGCGTGAGAGAGATAGAGACAGATGTAGCGGAAAAGGGAAACAGATAAAATATTTCTAAATTTTAATAAAATAGGTTATTTGTTGAAAAAGGCATTAGCGAAATGCAAGCCCCCTACCCGCAAAACCAACAATGAAGTCTAAATTTTCAAAGCTATCTCAGAGAAACGTTCCAATGTATTTCTTAATGATAGCGAGAGTATGTATCGGGATCGAGATATATACAGAAATCTAGAAAAATGCATGAATGAAACTTAAATATGTCTATCTGAGAAAAATGCATTATTATTTAGGTTTCAAATAAGATTGGAAAAAGCCTTAAACATTAATTTAAAAGAAATAGGGTATCAAAATGTTCATACTCCATAAATATGTAATTCCTTTGCATCAAATATGTAGTTATCGTGTAGTTAACATGTAAAAAAATCCCTTTTTTCTTGCCCTTGTTTGTTTAAAACTGTTTTATAAGCAAACCAGTAAAAGTGGGTCGTTAAAATTGGCCAGTCTTGTAGTCATGTGTTCAGGGCTGAGGGTCCTAGCTAGCTAGTAAAAGACAGATTTCCGTCAGTGCAAAGGTTACATTAACCCATTGTCGACCAGATCAACATACACGCCACGAAAATTATAAATTTTGAAGAATTTTCCCGCAGTTCAGGTGAACGGTATCGTGTTTTTTGGTAAGTAAAGAGAAAGGATAGGATGGATCTGCAAGAAGAAATTACATGCAGTGCCATATCCCGCCCGTCAGCTCAAGTTGTTCACCAGTTTAAACAAAGGGGGCTATGTGGGTTATGTTCGATTTTTCATCCATCTACTGGGTCACACTATTTTCGCCATTTTCAAGTCGTTCAGTCTGTTGGTCCGAGAAAATTTTGAGATAAATCAAAGGAAACGTGTAATTTCAGTGGGGAACAAGTTGCAAGCTAATAAATAGTCAATTTTCTCTTGTGAAAAATATCAAAAAAAAGGTAAGGACCCGCAAAATCAACTGAATATTTTCGCAAGAAAAAGTGCACCGGCAATATCGATTTTTGTTCACACACATAAGCGACGCCGCCGGCGCACTGCTGAATGGGGTGCTGCGCTGGGCAAATTCTACATACGCATGTGTGCATACATACATACGTTCGTAACCGGAAAAAGTGACTTCAATTTTTGTTGGTTTATATGTATTTGCAGAGAAAAATGCGTGGACGCGGCGGATTCATTCCACGTGGAAGTGGTAACACACGCGGTGGCTATTACAATAATCGCAACTCGAGCAATTACGTGAACACACGTACCCAGGGAAACTACCGCCCCAACGGGGGACGCTACGAGAACAACTACCACAACAACAACAACCGCTACAGCGGTGGAGGAGGAGGAGGCGGTGGCGGCAACAATAGCAACTATGACAACCGCAGCCGCGACAAGTTCACCCACCATAATTCGAGCAGCAGCGGGCGCTACGAGTCCAGCTCCAGCCACAAGCGCAACTACAATGTATGTTACGAAACAGAAGTGCTATCAAGCATATTTCCATATGAAAATTCTATTTATTTTCGGCATTCTATTTTTATTGTGTCTAGGATTCATCACGTGATCGCAGCGATGAGCGCAGCAAGCGTCCGCGCATAGACGTAAGTTAAATATTGACATTTCCAAAACTCTAAGCGCACGTAATTTCTGAGGTTATCATTATGCATTAAGTTGTACGCCGCCATGTTCTCTGTAATGTTAATGACTCTTCCAATATTTATAGCACTGTTTGTGGAGTTTAAACGCGGGATTCTATTGAGCGAGCGTTAAAGCAAAACATATCCCAAACAGCGAGCAGCACGGAACTCAAAGTAGCCAGAAAAAGCACTTTGGGAGCGCGAGAGCGAGTGCTCTATTTACTATATATATATATATATCAAATATATATAACAATATATCTGTGTTGTCCATAGAGTCAGCAGCGTCGAGGCAACGCATGGCAAATAGGCAAATATTTGGCCAGCGACCGATCGATTTGAGAGTGCAGCCAAAAGGCTGCAGATAAATATTGCCTACCACTCAGTCACTCACTAAACTGTCGATCTGAAAGCAAAAACTTCTGTATAGAAATGTGATTGAAGCGATTTTGATCTGTAATCTTTTATCTTGTGCCTTGTACCGTACCATCAGCAGTGCAGTCAATTCTCTCCCCATACCAAATAATCAATAATATAATCAATCCGCCAACAGATAATCTATCTATATACGCATATGCGTCTGTGTATCGATCCAAATCTAAAAAATAGCTAAGAGTGTAAAGTTTCTTCATCATGCTACCACACACCTACACGCTGCAGGATATATAACAGCATAATCGTTGCGATAACCACCCACAAATCAGATAAGATCAGAGAGTAATACAGTTTCTATAACAATAGCAGTTCTTTATCATCCAACAAGTATATAAATGTTTATATAAATATCTACCTATATTCGATATCACATCAAAAAAAAAAAAAACAAAACCAAATCAAACAAAATATGCTCCTACACTCCTTCCTACTCGTCAATCGTCAATAGGATTATCGTCGCACGTCCTCGTCAAACGATCGCAGCGATCGCCCATCGTCATCATCGCAGAACGTTGGCTCCTCATCGTCCAACTACCATCAGCGCAGCAACACCGGCGGAAGCGCTAGCTCGAGCTCGTATCGCCCGCGCGATGACTCGAACTCTGGTAGCCGGAATCAGCGCGAGTCGTCAATGGGACCGCCAAAGCGTATGATGCGTAGTGTGGCCGGCACCAATTATATATCGCGCCCACGCGGCTCAATGTCCATGCGTGGAGGCGGCATGACACGTGGAAATATGCGGGTTGGAGCCATGCGCGTTGTGCGTACCCGCAACGTCAACGAGTCCAATGATCTGCGCACCATGCGCCGCCAGTTGCTTTATGCACAGCAGAAAGATCGGGCTCGCCTGCTTAAGATTCAACAGCTGAAAAGGTAAATAGACAAAAGACAAATAGAAAACAAAAACCGAGTTATATACGATAAAGTTTATCCGTAAACGGAGCTTCAATTTATCAATTGTGTGTGTACCAATTTGCATCATTGACCATTGACCAAGATAATAATATGCCAAAGCCAAAGAACTATTTGAATATAACGCGATGCCATTGGCTGGATTGAGATTGGGATCAATTGAGATAAGAGGGCCACCCGCATTCTTCGTAGACAAGTATACAAGTATACATTATTATTGTTTGTGTGTGATTAGTAGAAATTGAAATTGAAATGTACTATGCAAAAATAATGACCAACCAACCAACCAACCAACCAATTCAACCAACCAACCAACACCAGACACTATGACAAGAATAGTAATTTGTTAGCTTATTCCCAGCTTATTCTGTACTAAACACAAAAATTTGCATTTGCATTTGCGCCTCCCTCCCACCTGCACATGACTTCAAATTCGAATTCATTCCACCCAAATCAATGTAGCTCGTTGCGCCGCCAACGCCTGGGAGGGAATAGCAGCGATAATTCCAGTGACAATGAGGACAAGGAGGACGATGATGCTGAGAATAGCAAGAAGAAGAAAGGCAAAGACAATGACGATGACGAAGACGTCGACGAAGACGACGATGATGATGAGAAGGATGCCGTCGATGGTGAGAAGAAGGGCGAAAAGAATAAGAAGTCACCTAGCAAAAAGCGCAACAGCAAGTCGGCAAACGAGGACAAGAGTGACGCCGAAGGCGGCGACGATGATGATCATGAACGCGACGACGATGATGATCAGGAGAAGTCCTTGAATGAGTCTGATAGCAAGAATGCCAAAGCCTCAGATGACGACGACAAGGTAAAGGCTGAAGATGAGAGTGCCGATGGCGACAAGTCTGAAGACAAGGCCAAATCCAGCACAGCCGATAAGACAGGTAAGAAAAAGGATAAAGATGGCGACGCCACCAAGGACACTAAGGACTCCAAGTCAAAGAAGACGCCCAGCAAGAAGGAGCGCTCACGCAAAGACAAGGACGACAGTGACGATGAGAACAGCAAGGACCATCGCAGCTCGCGCCATCGCGACGATGACCACAACAACCGCAAGCGCAGCTTCATTAAGCTCACTTGCGTCCACTGCAACTGCAAGTGTGTGACCTTCAAGGTGGGTGTCTCCTACACCAAACATTCTAATGTGGATCAGCTGCCAGCATTTCTTGACGTATTCCCTATATATTCAACTACAGGAGTACAACTACCACTTGAACTCGCGCACTCACAAGAACGCGATGCGCCAGGTGGCCCTCAACCAGCGGGCCGATCTACAGCGTATGCGCGCCCGTCAGCGCACAACTCAGCGCGAGATCGAGGAGAACAGCAAGGAGGAGCACGAGTCGCGGTATTGTCGCCTCTGTCGCCTGGCCTACCGCCAGCAAAAGAATCTGCATCAGGCCTCCGAGCACCACAAGACCATCAAGAAGTTCCTCATGCCCTACTGCGGCTCCTGCCACTTGGCATTCAAGAATGCCATGCTCTATGAGAATCATCGTTGCTCCCTGGAGCATATCCGCGTAAGTCCATAGTCCCAAAACCCTTTCAAGCATAAATACTGATCAATCTTCTAATTTTGTTTGCAGAACAAGGCCAGAAACGATGAGTCCGGCTCGGACGATAGTGTCGATGAGCGTGAGATAGATTTAAATAAATTCCTTACGGTGGACTCTGTTGGTGAGACCGATGTCGACGTGATGGATGCCGATGTGGATGCTATGGTAATGGAGGCTGAAACCGCTCAGAAGAGTACTGACGAGGAGACGCGCAAGCGTGGCATGATTGGCTCAGACTCCATCAAGGCCATTGAGGCTTTCTATTGCGGCCTCTGCAATCATTACTCCAATAAGACGGACGATGTTTCTTTGGAGGATTACACCAAAAAGCATTGTCTGCAGCATTCCCACGTCAAGGCGTTCTTGCGTCAAAAGGAGGAAACCGAAAAGAAGAACCGTAAAGATGATGAGAACGAGGATGACAAAAAGGCTGGCGATGACGAGGCAGATGTCGATGAAGAAATGGATGCTGACGCCAAAATCGATGAGGAGGATGACGAAGACTATGGGGATGCTGAAATTGGCGATGAACCCCAAGATGAGAATCTATGGGAAGAGGTCGATAAGGACTTGGGTGACCTGCTCGCCGAAGTGGATCCGATGAGCCACGAGGAGGAGGAAGAAGAGGACGAATCTGTCCTCAACATTGACATTGAAAGGTATGTTTTCCCGTTGTCTTTCAATTAAATTGCTAGATTATATAAAACTTGTCTAATTGCAGCGAAAAAAACAAGCTTAAAGATGCCAAAGAGGAAGCAAATGGCGATGATGAGGAGGAGGAGGAGAAGAAGGCCGCCGCTCCGAAAGAAAATGCGCCAGCAGTCGTCAAGTCTGCAGAGAAAAAGACCACCGCTGCCACTGCCGGCGCAGCAGCGGGCTCTGCTACATCCACACCAGCCAAGACACCTGCTGTCAAACAGCCGGTCAAGAAAGCACCGCCCAAGGCAGCTGCGGCCAAAGTCGGCAAACCAGGCCCGGCTTCAACCAAGCGCAATGTCTTGGTCAATGTGAAACGCACATCGGCGGCGGCCATCAAAGCTGCCACCAAGTCTAGCAATGCGGCAGCCGATTCCAAGTAAGCTGGAAGCAAGCACCAACAAAAATAACAATAGTAACACAAAATATTAATGTACCAACAAAAACAACAACAACCAAAACCCAGTGATTTGGTTGCAACAAAAAACATATTTAAAATATAACTAAACTTTAGCTCACGAAAATTACATACAGCACAGCAGCAAGAAAGAGCTCTTATCGTCATATAATCGAGCCCGGCCTGTGTAATAAATGTCTAGACCTAAATCAACCAACTTGTTGTACATATCTGGCGTGTATTTATTCGACGATTGGATTGGAGCATGCATGTGGAGTACTTTTGGGGTACCTTTCGCTGTGCCACTCGACCGTTTCACGCTGGGCCTTTCTAAACTGGCAGCATCGCGGACAAGTGCGCCTGCCTGCCACCTGGCCCGAACAATGGCAGCGAAATGCCTTTCGGTCGCCAATTTGCTGCCCCCTTCAAGGTGGTTACATGTAATTGTCAGCCTCAGCTGAGAGATATCCCCACAAACGTGAAATGGCGCACGCTAAATGTGATTAAGCGATGGCTGCAGACCTTGCCTGGGGAGCCCTTGCCGCCTAGCGTTTTGTTGCATATACGGACTGTAGTGTAATTGAGACCCATTTCTGTTTACTGTAGCTTAACTATTCCGTGTTAGTTTCCCCCAATCATTCTTAATGTAAGCGGAAAGCTAAGCTGAGGCTTGACATTGAATAACCCGCCGCTTATCTCTTTGTCTGGAGAGTGGTCGATTTTGGCGTGATGCTGCTCGCCCTCTTCCTTATTCCATTGGATGTACGAGTATAAATGTATTTATTAACCTATTGGGCGGCCCAAGCGTTGCACTGTCTGCTCCCACTGCCGTTTTCCTTTTTCGTTACCATTTCCGCTTGCCGCACTAACGGTAACCGCCAACCGCTTGCTACTTGCCACTTGGCGGTGTGGCAGTGGCAAAAGACAATGCCAATGCAGTGGCAAACGAAAGGAAAATACATTTCATTTCATAATTTTTCTACATATTTTTGCCAAATTAACTTTCACTGCATGTCTCCGTAGGATTATGTGGAAGTGGATTTTGAAACCGCGAGACGAGATCCCCCCGTACGCGAGTGGCTTCGGTTATTATGCAATCTGTCATTTTATATGCGTGTTCGTGTGAGAGGTCTTCGGTCTTGGTCTTCCCAATGATCCCAGCTGCTTCCTTTCTACCTACCACACTCTTAAGTGGGGCTCAGAGTCAGACAATGTCAAGTTTTGATTTGATTACGACTACGTTAGTGGTACAGCGGCAGCAGGTTTTGCCAGATCCCGAACTGGCTAAAGTGAGATGAGGCCCCCTCTATCCAGCTGGAGCTAATCCCTGGCAATCGCTCATTCAGTTCGGGTAAATTGCATTCATGTTTTGACGCCAGATTTATGCGCACATTGTTCTGTCTGTGTCTGCCACAAATCCGGTTTTTGCCTCAAGCGCCGAGGCTCCGATCCATTGTTGCCTCTGCCCCTTTGCCTTAGCCTTTGCCTAGGTATTACTATTAACATTTAATTTGTGATTCCAAGTCAATGCTGAGACCGACCGCAGCTTTTTAGTTACGTTTTTGCTTTTCGGCGCTTCTATTAAGAAATTTTCAACGGCAATGGTTGATTTTGTGTTGTTTTTTTTTTGCCGTGGCGGCTGCCATCTTCCTGTTGCTTGGCCACTTTTTTTGCCCACTGCTTTGGTTTTAAATGCCAAGGTGGTGTGCTTGCCGCTGGGACTCGGAATCCAGTTATCAGCGGACACACAATTTGGTTAATGCCACCAGCACTTGGACGCATTCGTTATACTTATGTGTGCGGAATCTAAGAATCAGAAGCAGCTCATAAATTGTGTTAAATGGAATCGTTTGACGGTTCTATTGAAATGTCAGTGGATGCTAGTGGATGCCAGTGGATTTTATGTTGCCCATGGCCAACCATCGCAGAACCGACCGATGTGCGATGTGCGGGTGCGTGGCTAATTGCTGGTCTTTGGCCAAAATGCTTTGTTGTGCACATTTTCACATCGTTAAATATATGTTTATTTGTCTTTTGCTTGGCCCAGGGATTATTTCTGTTTCTGTTTCTGTCTGTTTTCTCTTGTAAAGAGCCTTGGCACTCAAAGACCCGGCGCGGGAATTTGCATACATTTACAAAAGCGCCGAGATTAAAGAAATATATGTTGGTAATGATTTGATTGTGGATTGTGGATTGTGGGCATTAGTAATCTGCGATTTGTCGCTGTCTTTGTGTTTTGTGCGAAATTGGCAATACTATAAGTAGAAAAAAATATAACTGTTAACGCCGATTGCCGATTGGCTCGCTATGCAGCATGTCGCGACATACTACCGAACTACTTATCAAACCGAAGTTGTGGAATTCAAATGGCTGCTAATAATCAAATGTAATGTGTGAAAATTTCACACAGTTCTTGGCCGCAACCGCAAGCATTTACAAGACAAGTTAATTGTGGTACTGCTGCTTTTGGCCAAGCCAGTAGCCATGGCCAAGCGGCCAATTGGGACAATAGGCAAATGCACTTTATGGATGATGGACCCAGTTCCGCCTTGCTTCGGTAGTGTTGTGCAACCGCGCGATAACAATTTTTAGCACGCAATTCAAATGAGCCACGAGGAGATCTCTGGGACCAGATACCAGATACCGCTGCATGTGGAACTGCCGGCAGGTTATAATCTAATTAAGGCAACCCGTGTGCCAGAGCCAGAGCCAGAGCCTGAGCCGATGAAGCAGATCTTCTGTATTGCCGTATACATACATATATATATATATTCTTCTCACGCCCAAAATGTAAATGAAGTTATCCGGGTGTGTCAGTGGAGTCAGTCGGAAGGGGGCAGGGGGCCAAGAGCCACTTGGCTAATGCCAAGCCAAGTCAGCCGCCAACGACGAAAGCTACGGGTTTACATGCCTCGCTGCCTGCGACTACAGCTACGACGATTTGGTACTAGTGTGAAAATCTTGTTTCTCCTTCTTTTTCTTATTTTATGAATATTTTTCAACACTCATTCATAAGTCTGTCATTGTCCGTGTGTGCTCATTGTTCGCGACCAGAGATTTGGGTACGAGTGAGCATTGTAGGGTGGTAGAGGGGGGCCCCTGATGATTGCAACGCTTTCCCGATTTCATTCATTAAAGTCTGCGATTTATGGTGCAATCGGAATGGTGGGGAAAACAATGAGCGAGTCATCTGATCAGTGCGTAACAATCGACACGTCAAAGAAAGCTTTTCTTCACCCTCTGATCTCTGACATTTGACGACTCCTCCAATTGCCCAATCGATGCGATCGAGTATTCACTGACTCGAGTCAGTATATGTATACATATAGGAGTCCATAAATAACCACAAGGTCGCCAAGTCGGGAGAGAGATGCCGCCTCTCATAGAAATGATCATAACCATAGACACGATCGCGTATACTCACATCAATTGACTGGCCCCCTGCCTCATTATCGTATCTGGCTTGGCGTGAATGGAAAGCATTAAGTTATTGCCCCGCCGACACCACTCCGCAGACAGCAGATAGCAGACATTATAGCCGATATATGGATTTAGAGCTGGTCCAAATTAACACACAAGCGTTCGCTGGGGTGGTGAAAATCCACATGAAGTGCTTAAGCTGGTCATTAAATGCAGCCCAGGTATTTGCTGCGATTATACGAAACACTTGAGACTGCTCTCCAATATTAAAAACCAGGAAAAGGCCGAAAATCATATAACAATGCAAGTCAAAAGTCAGGCAAACCAAAGATTCCCCCTCCCAGACATCATGATCATGTAATCTCAGCCAGCCCCTCTGCCATCTACATCTACCATCTCATGGAAATCCTCTACAGTTGAGTGGTCCTGGACGCTATACTTTGGCCAAGCTCATTAGCAAATTATTTTGGTGTTTGCATGGGGGGGCCACGCTTCAATGGAACCGAGAGGGACCCAACCCGGACACGGACCCCCAGACGGACAGGGATTGTCGCTCGTTCAGATCACGAAATATGTATGGCCTATGCTTGAGTAGTTCCAAAAGCGTTTTCCATTTTGGAGCAGTTTAATTGTATTTAAATGAGTTAGAATGCACTTTTCATTTTCATTTCGCCATTTACTCTACAGTTTTTTTTTTTTTATGATTCATAAATTGTTCACTCTGACGTTTATAGTCGGTCTAGTCTGGTCTGGCCTGGTCTGGTCTAGAGGGGAGGTCTGGAAACGTAATTGATAGATACAAATCTGTGTCTGCCGTCTAGACGGACAGATACGATAGGATATCTCAGTTGAAGACATTTATTTGCGCTCGGCAAGCAGATGTTTATGAGCCATGTTGGGCATAAGGTAAAGAATTTGGAGTCATAACCTGGTTTAATGGTAGCGAATGTCTCTTGTCATCTGAGTACTTTTTATGCAGCAAGCAGATTGCTTTTAGTCATGGGTTATCGCTGGTATGTGTCCATCTTAATGTGTGTCCCATAAAGTTGTCCTTTAGACTATATAAGACTATATATAAATGTCTATACTCGTATAACGAACGTATAACGAATACCCCTTGAGGTATATTATACTTTTGTCCACTCAACTATATTAAGTACATGCTGCATAAAAACCTCAGTCAAACGTATGAGTGCAAGATAAGTTTTCAAACAAAAAGAATCCTTTAAATACTGTACCCCTTTCTTGAACAGTTGACATAGCCAAGATCCTTTGCAGTGTATTTTTGGCTTCAACAGAGTATTGATTATCCCATTGCAGTTAAGATCAACTGGGGATATGTGTATCCGAAATGCTTATGGCTGAGAGCTACCGCATAGTCGCAAGAGTGGTGTAGTTCACCGGAATGGCATTTTAATTGTCATCTGACGCTGGTAAATTACACATTATTTATACTGAGTACTGGCATTAACATTTACCCTGTCATATGGCGCTATCCATGGCAATTTTAACTACAGCCTGGCGATACATTTTCTTTTTGTTTGTAGCTGTGCAATGCTCTGCTGTGGCGTGTGGTTTGGTATCTTCACAGGTCACCCCACAGACGATTCGATTGTGCAATTTCATTGTCCAACCACTTTTCATTAACAACGGCGGCTGTGGCAGTGGCAGAGGCAGAGGTACCAACATGTGGTAGAGGCATGTAAAAAAAACGTCAAAATGTATCCACAGAGTTGCCAATTAAGACCTCAGCAAATGTTTTCGGTCAACTGCGAGTCCGAATGCTAGTTCCCGAGTATATCAAAAGCATAAACTAAATGTTAAGGTTGACTCTGTCCGAGTCGATAAATTGATACACATAAAATTTGGAGCATAAAACTGTCGGAGGGAAAAAATTGCAGCAGCGAATGTGGATGTGAATGTGAATGTGGATGTAGAACTGCTGAATGCAAATGCCAAAATGTGAACTGAACTGCCAGTGGAGCTTGAGAGCATCACCATCGTCGTCATCATCATCAGCATCCACGTCATGATCAGCATTGATTTAAGTGGAGTCAACTGGAAACTGTTGCATTTCTGGTTGCAACTTCAACAAAAAGCAGCAGCAGCAGCAGCAGCAACAAGCACTTGAAATTAAAAGCAGCTGAAGACAGCAAAAAAAAAAAAAAACAGAAACTAATACAATAATAAATAGTAGTAAAAGAAAAGAAGATGTTGCCACTGCATTTGTTGCTGCTGCTGCTGCTGCTGCTGCTGATGGCATCGTCTGCTGTTTCTGCTGCTGCTGCAGTTGTTGACTTGCATGCCATGCAACAATTTCACAAGCGGCACGCAGACAACTAAATGACAATGTGAACAAAATAACAACAACAGAAGCAGCATCAGTGGCAGCGGCGGCAACCAGGAGAATTTATAATAAGTAACTCTCTTGCTTCCACCGCTGCTGCTGCTGCTGCTGCTGTTGTTGCACCAACTCTGATCAATGTTGCGCAAAAAAAAAAGACAAAACAAAACAAAAGCTGCAGCCGCAAATCTTCCACTTAATTATAAACTTATTTATTTGGTTAGTTTGCAGCCAAACTGTCCTAATCAATTTGCTAAGGATGAGGAAATGGCAGCCGGGGAGCTTGCATCAGCATCGCCAATTTCCACGGATTTCCTCAGCGCCAAATTTCACAGCTACCGTGTTAACTTTGACACCACCAACGCAGATCCGAACCCATACCCAAACCCAGACCAAAACCAAAACCAAAACCGAACCCAAACCCAAACCCAAACCCAAAAGGAGACCAATCCATGGACGTGGATGTGGATGTGGATGTGGCCTGGCATTAGCATTAGGTAAGCTCCTCAATTAACTCGCACGGCAATTGCCCAAATTGGCCACCGACTTGACTCCGTCCGTCAGCCGGAGATCGAAATTGATGCTGCCAGCTCTCTGCCAGGGGTTAAGTGTAGCTGCCCACGCATGCGCTGAAATGTTAATTCTCAATCCTCACCCGACACTGCCACCACAGTGGTACAAGTCCTGCCAACAAACAAAGAGACTTCCAGACCACCTCTAGAAACGGCATCATACTTGAGGATGTTCCTTCAGAAGGGACTGTTCCTTACTTCGTGCTTGTGCTGGAATACATTTTGTTTCCTTTTTCCCTTTTTGTTGGTCGCTATCATGATCCCTTTTCCACATGTCTCTGGCACACTGTGCCACACTGTGCGGCAATTGCAAATGTCAAACGAAAGACTTAAGCAGCGAACTTGCTCGAAGGGGCTGGATCTAAGACTGGGCTGGGGCTTAAGCATATTAAATATGCAATGCTAATGCAAATCGATACTCGCATCCGAATCGAAAACGCTTGTTAAAAGTAATGCGCCCAATTTGCAATGGCAATACGACTAGAAGCCAAAGCCACAGCCACAGCCACAGCCACAGCTACAGATAAAGGTAAGACCAAAGCCAAAACAAAAGTGCCCTTTAGCCTCGACCAGCCCAAATAGCCATGGCCGGCAGCCGTCGCCTTCTGGGCGTACGAGTGTGTGCAGAGTCATACTCTGTGGCAGAGAGGGTGGGCGGGCAATTTAGTGTCACGTTAGCATTTTGGGGCGCTTCCAGGCGGCAGTCAAATGCCCGAGCCTTGCCATTAGGCGGGCGGTTAACTAGCGGTTAGCCACCGACAGAGCCGTCAACGTTCAATTGGCCCCCTGAAAACGGAATCGCAGACGCAGTCGGATAGTTGGGATAGGAGTTGGACTCGGCTTCGGATTCCGATTCAAAGTGGAGGAGCAGCAGACGATGTTGTGGCGGCCGCAGACAGACCTTTCTCTTTGTGTTGGTGCTGGATGGTTGGCTGGCTGGCTGGCTGGCTGGCTGGCTGGTTGGCTTGCTGATCTGGCCTGGCCCGGCACGACGAGCCGCAAAGGTCGGCCGCAGTACTCGGTTCGGCTCTCGGCCAAGACGAGTCTCGGCCACGGGTTTTATAAATACAAGTGTTGGCCGCACAACGGCAAAGATTCGTTGCTGAACGTGCAGCGCGCGCGATCCATTAAATCCCATCCGACTAGACTCGACTCGATTCACTCTCCTTGCAGGAAAGACACGGTAAAGCATCGATCCATCCATCCGTCATCTTTGGAGCGTTACTAAATTCGCGCCAAAGAAAATCTGTTGCAAGACGCATCCAAGGATTACGGGATACGAGTGCCAATTGAGTTTTGGATTGAGACTACTCGCAAGACTCCAATTCAGATGCAAATTCAAATTCAGTTTCGCTTTCGGTTTCGCAATGTTTCGGTGCCAATGTTGGATTGTGTCGAATCTTCAATTATATAACTAAAAAAATAATAATCGCCGTCTCTGTGTCGTGTTTTTCTATTTTTGTTTTTTGTTGCAGCCGGCAATGCTCAATGCAGATGCAGCAGATGCAGCCATCGTAACCCCCTGACTGCCTGACAAGGAAACAACCGAAAAACAACAACTGACAAAATATCCCCAGTGACTGTGAAAGTAACCAACGGACAGATCCAGATACAGATATTCAATTACTAGTCTCTTTGGCATTGCCTAGGGCCTGTTATTTTTTTGTTGTTGTTGTTTTTTTTTGTTGCTGTTGGCGGTGTGGCAGTTGTATCGGAGTGCTGCAACACCATGAGGATTCAAATATGGGTCCTAACACTTTTGCTGGGTGAGTACCCCATTGATCGTTTCCACGAATCGGTGTAGAGGTCGAAATATCCCTTGCCTGTCATTAGAGCATTATAGAAATAGATTCTTAAAGGATTCTATAAGTAATGTTGGCATGTACATACATATGTATATACATACGTAGAGGGATTAGAGTTTCTTGAGTTTTCTTAAGCAAAACTTCTTATCAAATCGTAATACATTATTTGTTTTTTATTACTGTAAAAAGTACAAATTGTATCGAAATTATACAATTATTTTTTAAACTTATGATTTTACGGTCTGAAGAAAGTTGTACAAGAATGCTCAAGAATAGATTTTTGTCAATGTAGAACACTCAATTTCTTCAACGCAATAAAATATTTTTGAAGTTTATTCAAAAATATGAATTAGATTCTTTTAATGAACCTCCGTTATAAGTAAACTATCTGTTTTTTTATAAGGATTGAAGACAAACAATGGAAAGTTCTTGTAACTTTGGAGGATTACAAAATTAATATTCTGCAAATGTAAATATAGAATAAAGAATAAACGGGTTGCTATAAATCTTGTCGTGAGATACACATAAATAGAAAGAAACATTCTTAATGCTCTAGTATACCTAAATTATCACTCGTATCTTTAACTATTGTCTAATCTTGAAATTAATGACATCCATAACCACACCAATAAAACACGTTCATACACATTAAACACACAGTATATGTCAAAGATCAACCATAATATTAAATATTCCCATGATATTCACACTTTTTCCACCTATCTATCCTCTGTCTCCTCCCACACAGGCCTCCTCTGCGCCCAGGCACTGGAAACCAACGCCAAGAGCGACAGCACCAGCAGCATCGGCGATAGCAAGAGCGCCGCCTCCACGCCGCTGGAGTCGGAGGCGTCTAAGGACAAGCGCCAGGTGAGCAGCAAGGAGACGCCCCTCTATCCCAATCACCGCAGTGCGGATCCAGCGGCAGCCGACGATCCCGAGGACGGGCAGGAGACCATTTACGGCACGAAGCCGAATCAGTTCATCATACGGCCCATTGCCCCGCATCAGCATCAGCAGCACGAGGGGCACCAGGAGCCGCAGCTACGGAACTTTGCGGCGGCCAACTCCCGGCCGCATGCCGCCCAACTGCTGGAGCAGAGCCAAGAGGTGAGTGGGGAACACAATCGATTGATTGATGGGGTTTTGGCTGTGAGGGATTTCGCTGTTCATTTGTTTGTTTGCTTTTTGCAAATCGAGGGGCGTTTCATCATGTCGCTGCTTGGCCCCGCGGCCATCAGACATCAGACATCGGAGATCGGACGACCTGGCATCGTGACTGGGAATCGGTTGCAGTTACACGATTCTTTGCAAAATGCCGGATGTAAACATCTCAACATCAAGCCACAGCTTGTCCCAGTCCCCCAGTCCCCCAGACGCCCAGTCACAATCCCCAAGACCCAAGCCCCAGATAAATTGTCAAATTCTCCCTTTCGCCGAGGCCAAGAAACCTTGACCAATATCTCCCAGTGGCCCAAAGGTTTATTTTCGGAACAAATTGCGATAGACAAAGACAATTACAATTAGGCAAAGACAATGTTTCTATTACAAAATGTATAGAAATTAAATGCGCTGGCCTGGCAAATATAATAATAATAATAATAATAATATGATTATTATAAATGAAATCGGCAGAACTAAGTCACGACATGGCATGGCGACAGGCAACGCAGTAACAAATGCATAATTGCAACATTATGTTATTTTTTGGATTACGCGTTAAATAACGAATTCCATTCCATTCCATTCCCTTTCCATTTCCCACCCGCAACCATTTCCACCTTTCCGTCTACTTCTTTTGCTTCTGCTGTGGCTTCTTCTTCTTCCTCTTCTTCTTCTTCTTATGTTTCTTCTGCTCCATCATTCGCGACAGCGAAACAATGGCGGCGCGGCAGCTTTGAGTGGTCGTGGGAAGAAAGTTGACATAATGTTATAATCACCCCCACTTTTGGTCTGCTCCGCCAGTTGAGTTTTCTGTGGCTTGAATGTGGTGGTGGTGGTGGCGCCTTGAATTGCCGGCGGTGCGGCACAATATATTTGCCACAATAATGTGAATTACACGCTAGCAACACTGTACAGCAGGTTTACAAAAGATTCGAACTGTTTTAAGCTTAACTCCTTGTTTTTTTCATTGGGGAAAATTTAATCCAAAAGTTGTTTATGATTCGCACAGACAAAGTTAAATGTATGACAACCTTTTTTTGCACAGTGTAATTATTGGTGTCCTATGTTGGTCACAGATTGTTGCAGCATTTAGCCATGGTGCTGCGGTTGTTGTTGGCGTTGCCAAACTCTTGCCACAAGTGTTATATAAACATATTTTTTAGATGCCACGCCATTCTCACAACGTCTGTGACTGCGAAGCACCTGCCATGTGGCTGCCACCGCAGTTTCTGTTGTTGTTGTTATTGGTGGCAGTGGGCTCCACATTAAACAGCTGCTGACATTGGCCGCCGCTGGCTGAAAGTTGGTTGTTCACACACCCACAGCAGCCCACAGTAGAAATCCATAATTACACGTCTCTCGATCTCTCTCTCTTCTTGCCACTGTAGGTGCAGCATTATGTCTACCTGCAAGATATTATGCGCCATCACCAGCCCAAGGCCCTGGGGGCCTCAGGTCAAGGCAAGGGTGCGGCCAGCAACCCGAAGAAGTCGTCCACACCCGTCGCTGAAGAGGAACAGGAGCAGGAGGCGGAGCAGCGCTATGCCGTTTCTATTCAGCCACAGCCACAGCCGCAGCTGCAGCAACGCCCTCGTCCCTATCCCGGAGTGGGTCCCTACCAGCTACCACTACCATTGCCCGCTCCCCAGCATCAGCAGGGTCATCTCCAACAGCATCAACACCAGCACCAATCCCAGCAGCCATATCAGGTCATACCCGAGGAGCAGTTCCTGAAACTGCTGGAGGAAGAGTTGCAGGCGAGAGCCTACCACGAGCAACTGCGTCAACAACAGCAACAGCAGCAGCAGCAGCAGCAGCAGCATCAGCAGCAACAGCATTCCCAGCAGCAGGCGCAACAACAGCAGCACAAGCAATTGTCCATCCACAGCACAGCGGCCACCCACAAGGTGCTCCAGCAGGCGGAACCGTCTCTGGGCTTGGGCGGCTATCGCGATCGTTTGGTGGCCGAGCAGGAGCTTGTGTCGCCTGCCTATTCACAATCCCCGTCCCGAGGGGGTCCCAAGTATCTGCCCTTGTCACAGGCCCAGCAATTCGAGGAGGAGGAGGTGGCCCAGCAGCAGCAACAGCAGCAACAGCAGCAGCAGCAGCAGGCCCAGCGCAGTCATCTACACAAGCCCATCCACCATCAGGGACAACCGCATCAGCAGCAACTAATCTCCGGTCTTCCCCCACAGATTGCCTACTACCAACCGCAGATCAGCTACAAGACCCTGCCCAACCATCCGCTAGCCAAGTCCTCGCTGGAAAGTGAGATTGAGAAACTGCTGGCTGCCAATAAGCCCGGACCGGCCCTTGCCTATGTCGACAGCAGTAATGAGCCGACTTATAACCACCAGCAGCCATCGGCTCGCCACCCGCTGCCTCTACAGCATCCGCCGCCGCCCACCTCGCATCCAGCTCTGCGCCAACCCAAGGCCTACCTGGCCAGTACCCCCAACTCCCTGTTGGACGCTAACAACCAGCCCTTCGTCCCGTCACTCTTCAAGTTCAGCAACTACCAGCAGCCCACGCCCATCTATCCAACTCAGGCCGCTCCCCTTTCAGAGCCCAAGAGGCTAGGACCCGTGGTGTACCCTACGCAGACCGCCAACCAACCACAGCCCTCGCAATATTACTACCAGGAGGCGGCACCCACTGCCGGTCCCAAGCCATCCCCCCACCCAAAGCCCTACCTTCGCTCCAAGCACTATAAACTGGCCGCACCCTCGAAGGCTCTGCTCTATGCCGACTACGATCGCAGTCAGGGACCACCGCCACCGCAGTCGGCTTCGTCCAGCTTCTATCCCAGTCCGCCGGATCCGATAAAGCATACACAGAGAACCCTAGGAGTGACACCCACATCTCTTCCCCTGCCCGACTATCCCTCGCCGTCGCCTTCTCAGTCCAGCATCTATGTTTCGCAGGGTACTGGAATCGTGACGCCATCCCGCGCTACGCCCACAGGCACGCCGGTCCAGAAGCTGCGGACGCTGGACGAAGTGAAGCAGCTGAATCTGCCGCCCCCTAACGGAAAGCCCCTAACCCAGGCCGAGTTCCAGGCGCTGGTCGATGCCGGATACCCGGTGAAGGCGGTGCCAGTGCCAGTGCCCGTCCCATACGAGCAATACGTCAAGGATCATCCCGAGTATCGCAATCACCCTCCAGTGGACTATGCCCACCTCATGCGACTGGCCACGCGCCAGTTGGCCAGCCAACAGCAGCAACAGCAGCATCACCATCATCGCTCGTTGGCCGCCCCCTCGGAGCCGTCGGTGAAGATCATCTCCTCGCCCACGGCCAGCGATCTACAGCAGCAGACGGCAACGGGCATTGGCGGCGGCAGCGTCACCTATTTGCAGCCCATCGAGGGACAACAAGCCCATCTGCATGCACATGCCCACGCCCTACAGAAGCGACGTCCGAGAGATGAGCAGGACACGGCCGTGGCGGGCAGTGAGACTAAGGCGGCCGCACCAGAGGCGAAAGCGCGACCGCAGACAGCACAGAAGGCTCAATGAGGCAAGCGGCTTCCTGTTTTTTTTTTAGTTAAAATGTCCTTGTCTAGTTTATAAGTATTGTAAAAATGTTTCAGCACTTGCGCAATGTTAAATTATAAAAAAAAATAAAATACGGAAACCTAACAAAAGAGCGCGAGGACGATTAAATTACATATTATTTTCGATACTCCAAACATGATCAAGAATAGGTGTTCTTACACTCAAGGTTCTGATTTTTGGGATCGGGGTCCCTCACTTAGTTTGGGCCGAATCCCGAATTGCTGTTACTGTTGCTGCTGTCCGCCGAACTGAGCGTGTCCGGAGTGGCCGTCTCCTTGGTCTGCAGGCGGGAAATTTGTGGATCGCGTTTATCTTTTTCCTTGTCTTTGCGCTCTCGCTCCTTGTCCTTGCTGTGCTTGTGTTTGTGTTTATGCTTGTGCTTCTTCTTGTCCTTCTTCTTTTTTTTCTTGACGAGGCCATCGCTAGGCTTGAACTTGCCTTCGTCGTAGCTGCTCTCGTATCGTGTCGACTCGGCCATGTCGAGTACCGTCATCGAATTTTCATCCTCGGCGCAGATCTCCGTCTTGATGCGCTTGCTCGTTTGACCGTCAACCGATCCCTCATCTGCTGGCAGGGCTTTCACTTTGGTCTCACTGTCGTAGGCCTGCGTATGGGATGGATCGTCTACCACTGTCACCACTTCGCTATGCTCCACCTCTAGCTTGATGATCTCATCGCCCACCGCAAACGCTTCTGTGGCCGTTCGTTTGATGGTGACCATGGCGGGCTTATGCCGTTCATGCGACTCAGTTTTCATGATCTCCGTCAGCGCTTGGGATTGCTTGGAGTCGCTGTGCTTCTTAAAGCTAGGTCCGCTGCTTGCACCGTCTTTGAGGAGGTCTTTGTAGAAGCTCTGATTCTCGCTGGCCTGAAGGCAGTTGGGACGCTTGCTGCCGTAGAGCGCATAGTATAGATCGACGGTATCGCAGCGCAGTTTGGTGTTACCATACTCCTTGGTGTTTATTCTCTCCCAAAGGCGTTCGACCAGATTGGGGTTGTCCAAGGCGCTTTTTTTTATCTCACGGGTAAAGGGTGGATTATCGATCAGCAGCTGTGCCAAAGCATGCCGGGCAGCCGGGTCGGGATCAGTCTCTAACAGGTTGATCAAATGGTCCAGATCCTCGCTGCGTCCATCAACTTTCACAAAGTCCACCAGGCATTCCATGGCAGCGATTCGCAGATCAAGAAAGACACCGTATGCCGCATATCTGTGGTAGAAGTTAGGCAGAGACGGGAGATGTCCAAACTTTTGCAGCTTTCGAATGACCTTCAAACAGGAGACGGACACGACATACTTATACGACGGCAGACTCTTCTCCATGTTCAGCAATCGAGTCATCTCATCCAGCACCAGCCTAAAGAGAATAAAAAAATTATATGGAATCTTTAAAGAGTGGCATTGATTCTTACTTGGCATCAGTGGACAGGCTGTCGGTGGTGATCTGTGTACCGTGCATTGACACTGAGACAACGGGTGTCAGCGTTTCGCCCAACGCCTCCACCAGAGCAGCTCTGTAGTACGCATCCGTGTAGTGATTGCGCGAGTTCTCGTTGTACTTGAAGAGATCGAAGAGAAAGCGCATCACTTCTGGCGGACAAATGCCATGCGAGGTGCGCAGGCCTGCCAGAGAACCGAATCAGTTAAGGATCAAAGAAGGACTCAATACTCACCTGCCATAGCCACAGGAATCGCCTTTTGCAGAAAGTACAATTGAAAATTGGAAAAGTTGTTCAGCTTGATAATGTGCGGCGCACTGAAGGAGCCAAAGAACTTCCTGAATATATTCAGCATGGCGGGGGGACCGCTCCACGAGGCCACCATCTGGTTGGCAACTTTGGTAAGGCTGTGCGCTGCCTGGACCCGCACTTTATAGAAGCAGCGATCGCTCTCAATGGTGTCGGTGAGGGCAAGTCGCGTGGCGTTTGTCGGGTACTGCTGGAGCGCCTGGATGGCCTGGAACTGAGCCGTAACATCGCGCTCATGGCGCAGCTGGTATTGCCACTGAAAGTCGGGTTGCTCGATAATCAGGTCCCGCAGCAGAATCATTTCCGGATCAAGGCGTATCCAAAGCACAGGCGAATCACTAAATACACAAAGCATAAGGCATACATATTGTATGGAAATCTAGCTGAGACTTACTCCATGGCAGAGAGATCCATGTCCACCTCTTCGCCCGTGGAGAGGGGAATCTTCTTTTTCTTGTTTCGCCTGCTCTTCGAGTGACAGGTAATATCCGCCTTGACTAGAGTGTTCTCGATCTGCAGCGTGTGCTTGAAGGTTCCATCCAGCTCCTGCAGTTGAACCAGCAACGGACCGTTGTACTTCCTGACCCCGCGATGATTGACAAAGTCCTGACGAATCTCCAGCTCGATGGTGTTTCGCTTGCGATTGAATACCGAGGACAGGGAGAACTTGGCATGGCCGCCAGTGCGCACCGACTGATCCATAAAGACGGACATGTCCTTGCCAGTGACAGTGAAGATGGCTTTGATGAAGATATTGGTGGAGATGAGCAGCTGGGACCAGAGACCAGCCCCGATTTTGGTCGAGGCAGCATTCGTCGCCAAGGCCAGCTGCTTGTTGAACACCTGTATGAGTAGCTGCTGTCCAATGCGGTGCTCCAGCATCCGAATGACAAGATGAGCCTTGCGACGCATAGCCTCCACATACTTGGGCGACACCGTGTGGAGACTCTTGATAGGAAAGTAGTGGACAATCTCCTGCTGCTTGCTGGCAGCTGCCGAGGGATTTGTGCTCGACACGGGCAATGGGGCGGGCGGCTGGCTGCAGTCAAGAATGATGCCTCCGTACTTTTCCTCATACTTGACCACTCGGGCCAGTTCCGTTTGCACCCACTCGCGGTACTCGTTGTTGCCAAAGCATTTGCGGGAATACAGGCCACAGAGGTACTCGGCTATTCCCTTCGCCAGCCAGGTGTCCGACCAATGGTGGGAGGTGATGAAGCAGCCGAAGAACTGTTCGGCCACTGCGCGGGACATGAATGTGCGGCTGATGTACGTCTGGTCAATTATGGCTATGGAGTGCAGAAGGTTGACTGAGGCTATGCTCAGCGTCGCGTAGGCACTAATGTCCGTGTCCAGCTCGTCTACAAACACCTGTTTGTAGCAGGAGAAGGGATAGCGAGTGGAGAGGGTCTCCTCGAAGAACTCGAACGCCTCGTGCAAGTAGCGCACCGTGTTCTTCAGCAGAGGCAGCATTCCGGGCAGGCAGAAGTGCGTCACCTCGTGCATGTGAGGATCGACATAGATCTCGAAGGGGCCTACAGCCAAGGCAATGTTGGGAGCACACACGGGCGTTGTCACCGTATAATGAAATGTTTTCCTGCGCAAATCTGGCGTCATTATGACCTCTATCAGCTCTCCGCACGAGACAGCCGTCAGATTCTTGTCCACCGTGAACTCCAGTTTCCAAGTGCAGGGATCGGCAAAGCTGTCCACGCAGGGAAACCACAACCGAGTGGAGTTCTCATAGCAATTGGTGAACATGTGTGAGCAGTTAAGTAGCTTCTCCTCGTCCTTGTCCGCACGTGGAATGACAAAGTGCACGCCGCTCTTGGGGTTCTCCAATGAGAACTCAATGCTTATGCGCAGGCCACGTCCCTCTTGAATAAGGGAAAATCCATCAGGTGGCACTTCAATAAACAGCTCGCCATTGTTTACATCCGGATCGGTAAACTGGGCTGCGTTCAAATGTGCTTCGCGGTAGTGCTCGAGCGATCGTGTTTTGGGATCCTTTGCGCAAATATTCATAAAGGGGTCAAAGTAATGGAACTTGGCATGACACACGTCGTTGAGGACGACACTGTAAATCCTCATCTGCTTGGCATTCAGTCGAATAAGGCGTAAGCTATCGCTGTTCGGCACTATGGTCAGCTCCACCATGCCCTATAAGCGTATTATTTGATTAAATATTGTAAATAAATGCAAGTTTAGTACTTACCATTAGATTGCGCCTCTCAAAACTGATGCCCGTGAGGCTCACAACCTGATGCGCCGTGCTGCGGTAGAACGAAAAAACATTAAACGCTGATTTTGAGGAATGTTGAAAGGGTACTTATAATTTGAATGGGCGAAGCGGTGCCTCAGGCACCTCAGGTTGCACATCCATCGCAGAGTCGTAGTTTATTCCAACCGAAAACAAAAGAAAACTTTCGTTTGTTATTAAAAACTCAGCATTCTTATGACTTATCGCTATCGCAGACCTATCGATCAAATATACGGTCCGACCCTCGGAAATATACCGAAATATACCGTCTCATTTTAAAATCATACCGAACTCAGCCCACTTAACCCCCCTTTATTTAAGTAGGATAACAGCTTGAGCTAAAGCGCGTAAAATGTTGTAAATGTTTGTAAATTCTTCTTGTAGATCCATCCCATCTTTCCTCTTTACTTGCAAAAACAACCACCATATCTTTCAACTTAACTGAGCTAAAATTCTTGAAGTTTCAAAATATTCGTGTATGTATCTAAATACCCACTGGTCGACAATGGGTTAATCGTTCGGATGCTTTTGGTGCCCAATAGGTGCAGTTTAACCTTTATACTGTTTCATGTATTTTATCAAGTCCGTCGTCGAAACTTTAACGTATTTTATAAAATATTTAATACAAAAAATCAATTTTTTTTGAAATAAAATGGCGTCCTTAGCTCTTATTAATTGCACTTAATTAGACTATATATCTCTTCGTTACCTATATGGGGAAAACCGCGAAAAACAACAATTGCGCGGTTAAAAACCATCAGTTTGTTCAAGGGTTAAAGATTATGAATCATTTACCGAGAAAGTTAAATTTGGATCTTTCCCCCATTCAAAAAGTATATTTCCCAACCGAGTCAGCAGTTTTAGTTTGACGACGAGAAGTTAACCACCTGGAGACACTAATTCGTAGTTTTCTAGGAGTGCTACGCATAAAATAATTAGGAAAAAACCAGAGAATCCATTGAAAATAAATAATGTACGGTATTGATAATTACCCCAAGAATTATCATGCCAGTGGCATTGGACTTGTCAATTTGGCAGCTTTGGGCTACAGCAAGAATGAAGTCAGCGGCGGGAACTCGGAGAGCGCAAAGCCGAAGGCAGGGCTCTACCCTTCGCTGCCATACCCCTCATCCGAGTCCGTGGGTGGCATGCCATATGTTGTAAAGCAGCAGGCGAGTCACTCACAGAATGCCTCGTACCCGGGAATGAGCGTCGGGATGAGCATGCCAACGACTGGACCATCGGCCCCGTATGCAAGTGCCGCGCCATATCCAGGTGCCGCACCATATCCAGGAGCCGGTCTGTATCCCAGTTTACCGTCTGCATCTTCATCGTTGCCGTATCCATCTGCGCCCCTGGCACCATATCCCTCGTCGATGCCGTACCCGAGCATGCCACAACCTGGACTTCCGTATCCATCCGCTCCACTGGCCCCGTATCCAAATGCGAATACTGCATTTCCGAGCATGCCAATGCCTTACGCCCCCCTGCCAACAAGTCCAGCTCCCCAGCAGGCTGGCGGGTTCCCGTCCTTGCCTTACCCGACAGCGCCGCCACCAGCCAGTGCGCCCACACAAGAGGAGGAGCCGTCTGTGGGAATTGCCGAGCTGAGCTTCACCAGCGTCAAGGTGCCGGAGAATCAGAATATGTTCTGGATGGGCCGCAAGGCTACTAGCACCCGGCAGACAAGCATTCGAGGCGATGACTTTGCTTCGCTCCGCGATTCCTGCGTGATCAATGGGACGATGTTCGAGGATCCCGACTTCCCGGCCAACAATGCCTCCTTAATGTTCTCCAAGCGTCCCGATCGCTACATTGAATGGCTTCGCCCGGGCGACATTGTGGGCGATCCCCAGTTCTTTGTAGAGGGCTACTCAAGATTCGACGTCCAGCAGGGCGAGCTGGGAGATTGCTGGCTTTTGGCCGCTGCGGCGAATCTCACTCAGGACTCCACGTTGTTTTTCCGCGTCATCCCACCGGACCAGAGCTTCCAGGAGAACTATGCCGGCATATTCCACTTCAAGTTTTGGCAGTACGGCAAATGGGTGGAGGTGGTCATCGATGATCGCTTGCCCACCTACAACGGCGAGCTGATCTACATGCACTCCACGGAGAGGAACGAATTCTGGAGTGCCCTGTTAGAGAAGGCCTACGCCAAGCTACATGGCTCCTACGAGGCTCTCAAGGGTAACATCTAGTCATAGAACTCCCTGTTGTATGGATTTATTTCATCAAAACTATCTACTTCTAGGTGGCACCACTTGCGAGGCAATGGAGGACTTCACCGGCGGCGTTACCGAATGGTACGACATCAAGGAGGCTCCACCAAATCTATTCAGCATCATGATGAAGGCCGCCGAACGTGGCTCGATGATGGGCTGCTCCCTGGAGCCGGATCCCCATGTCCTGGAGGCCGAGACACGCGAGGGTCTGATTCGTGGACACGCGTACTCCATCACCAAAGTCTGCCTCATGGATATATCGACGCCGAATCGCCAGGGCAAGATGCCAATGATCCGAATGAGGAATCCATGGGGCAACGACGCTGAGTGGAGCGGTCCGTGGAGTGACAGTTCGCCCGAGTGGCGTTTCATTCCAGAGCATGTAAAGGAAGAGATTGGTTTGAACTTTGATCGCGACGGCGAGTTTTGGATGTCCTTTCAGGATTTCCTGAATCACTTTGATCGTGTGGAGATCTGCAACTTAAACCCGGACTCGCTGACGGAAGATCAACAAATCAGTTCGCGCCGGAAGTGGGAGATGTCGATGTTTGAGGGCGAATGGACCTCGGGAGTGACGGCCGGCGGATGCCGCAACTTCTTGGAGACGTTCTGGCACAATCCGCAGTACGTAATTTCGCTAGAGGATCCCGACGACGAGGATGACGACGGTAAGTGCACAGTCATTGTGGCCCTGATGCAGAAGAATCGTCGCAGCAAGCGCAAAGTGGGCATCGACTGCCTCACCATTGGCTTTGCCATCTACCATCTCACGGACCGCGACCTTCAGGTGAAGCCGCAGGCTCTGAACTTCTTCAAGTATCGCGCCTCGGTGGCACGTTCTCCGCATTTCATCAACACGCGAGAGGTGTGCGCCCGCTTCAAGCTGCCGCCTGGACACTATCTGATCGTGCCCTCGACCTTCGACCCCAACGAGGAGGGAGAGTTTATCATTCGCGTCTTCTCCGAGACAATGAATAACATGGAGGAGAATGACGATGAGGTCGGCTTCGGAGATACAGACGATCGCATTGCTCCCGCTTTGCCGCCACCCACCCCCAAGGAAGAGGATGATCCTCAGCGCATCGCCCTGCGACGCCTCTTCGACAGCGTGGCCGGAAGCGACGAGGAGGTGGACTGGCAGGAGCTTAAGCGCATTCTGGACCACTCAATGCGCGATGTTATGATGGGCACTGATGGCTTCTCCAAGGATGCTGTGCGCTCAATGGTGGCCATGCTGGACAAGGATCGCTCTGGCCGCCTGGGTTTCGATGAGTTCGAGGCTCTGCTGACGGACATTGCCAAGTGGCGGGCCGTCTTCAAGCTGTACGACACCCGGCGTACCGGCAGCATCGATGGCTTCCATTTGCGCGGAGCCCTCAATTCGGCTGGCTATCATCTGAACAACCGGCTACTCAATGCCTTGGCGCATCGCTACGGCTCCCATGAGGGACAGATACCGTTCGATGACTTCCTGATGTGTGCCATCAAAGTGAGGACCTTCATCGAGATGTTCCGCGAACGGGACACGGACAATTCCGATACGGCCTTCTTCAACCTGGACGATTGGCTCGAGCGCACCATATACTCATAGACAAATGGAGGCCAGGCCACAATAGTTGCAAATACAATCGCTTTCAATTGATACTAATCTAATCCTAAGTGCCACATTTACTTAATCCACATTCTACACATGATGCTGCATGAGAAAATACAGAACCATGACGTTACTTGTACAACCCTCAGATGGAGATACAGTCATACACCATGCCAACTAATGAATCTTATCAAACGACTAAAACCGGAAATAATGTGCGGTAATTGAAGGGACCTTGAAATAGCTCGAGGTGGCGATACACGATAAACGCCACAAAACCCAATGGTGCTTTGTATACAACACAGACAGTCGTTCATATATTAAAAACTGTATATACTAGACGCTTTATAGAGCGCTTTTAATACGTCTGCTGGAGGGATGACTAAGAGTAAACATAAAAAATTCTTCTAGGCATTTTATGCACCTCATTTAAAGCCGGAAATTTGCCAGTACAAACTGAAATCCGCATTACTAATCCATTACATACGCTACGAGATCCTCGTACAGCCATTAAATATTCTATAATTAAGTCAATATTTACTACATATAAAATCCATATATGTAAATTTTGTATTTGTTCTAATATTATTGCAATCTCTGAACCGACAACCGCCGTTTTTGTTCAGGTGATAAACTGAGACGAACAATGCTCCCTTTTTGTTACTACGTATGTATGTATGTACATATGTACATATTTGAATAAAAGTTGGGAAGTGTTTGGAGAGCGCAATACGAAGCGACTCAATTACTCATCGAATCATTGTAATCCTAAAGAGAATAAGCAAAGCCCAGTATCGTTAAATTTAATCAATGAAATCATCAGAAAAGTTGTATTAATGATCCGATTAGAAATCTCAAAATGTCAAACTATCGAATGTAAACTTTTTTCTATGTGTAATATTTTTGATAAATGTAAAACTAACTTCGAAAGAGGCTAAGCCTTTGGAAACTTGCGAACAAACTAACGAAAAAAATACCCAAAAATATTGTTTGTAATCTTATTGTTATTGTCTTTAAATGATGTTGTTGTGTGCTGATGTTTTTTTAAATAAACTGCAGATTTGCGATTACAACTACTTGACCATGACGATATCGGTGGCACCGGTCGGAGGACCAGCTTCGATTAGGAGCTGCTTGAACTCGTCAAAGACCAGGTCGTTTTCGGAGGCCAATTGCGTAAGCAGCTCAACAAAGTCCTCGAATTCCAACCGCCACTTCCTAGGAGAGACCTCCATAAGATGGATACCATTATTGAGTGGGGGATACGTACTTATAGCGCATGTAGAGGAGACCAGTTTGTGTTCGAGTTATGGGATTAGGCATTAGCTTGGCCTGCTCTATCCAGGCATCGATTTGCGAGAGAAGAATGCAGTCAAACTCCTCGTTCTCCAGCTCCGTTGAAATAACCTGCGTCACAATAGTAATGCAGAAAGGCAAAAAATACAAAATATATAATTGGGGTATACCTTATAGTTGCAGTACACTATAAATAGCGTGTCCAGGGTATGCTTCTTGGGTTTATCATCGTCATCAGCCATGGTTAATTTGGGTGGAAAGAACGAATTCAAAGTACTAGCATACAAGTCTATTTGTGAGAGATTTTTGTCCCTTAAGGCAGATAGCGAAAAGTCAATGTGAGTGTACTAGATTCACATTTACGAGTGTACATATTTCAATTTTTCGTTTGTTTTTTTGATAAACAACGCTCCAACGAGAGCGTGCGTACTTGTGTTATAATATCTCTGTTGCCATGGAAATGTGTTTCAATGGTGATTATTTTGGAGGTGCTGCACAATCCGCTGGACATGGTGCATAGGTTTCGGCGCCTCTTGCTGTCTACTGACATTGGCAATCCCATAGGGTGGGTCGGTGATCACGTGCTGCAGCACAAAGATGGAGTCTGGGCCATGGGTCCCCCTCTGGTCTGTGGCGTCAGTCAGAGAACGGAGACTTGTAGTCGAAGTGCCGGAGAGCCAATGTTGAGTCACAGATTGAGATCCGGGATAAAGTATGACAGTCGAAGTCTCTTTTTGAAAGCAATGGTTCCTATATGGTCGCGACTAAGAGTTCGATTTTTTTTTGTGTGTTTTATTTCATTTTATTTACAGTGTATGTACGCTAATTAATAATGTACTAAATATAAATGTTGTTTTTCAAAAGTAAACCGTTCCTTTTTATCATATAATCGTATATAATATATATATAATTTCGCAGTTTAGCATTTTGCTGTCTAAATTGTTGTTGCTGCACGTTGCGTTGCTTGTTCTTTTTGTTTTGTATTTTTTGTTTTTCCAAGAAGATTTATGTTTCGTTTATTATAATTATATTTATGTATGTATATAAATGTGGGGGTGTGTGGTGTAGGTGTTTGCATGTACCTTCATTAGCAGTATCTTTAGGCCTAAAAACAAAAAAAAAGATTACTCTTTGCTTCTGATTTATCGTAAACCGAGAAAAAGTGCTTTGGATAAATTCTTAGCAGAAGAGGCAACAAATAGATCAAAGCGCTTCGTTTGTTTTATGATTTCTAGATAATAAATACCGAAACAAATAATTGCTGGGGACAGGCACAAAACAGAAAAGGAAAAAAAATGTACACTGAAAAAACACATCTGTACACAAAAAAAAAAACGCTTGAGAAGTAGCGAAATCTTTAAAAACTGAGTAGCGAGAACAGCTTTAGTAGCGAGAACTATAAAAAGTGAGCTTTACGAGTTTAAAAGATTGTTTTTGTTCCAATGATCTACTAGCTAATGACTGCCTACAGTTCTGTTTTGGGTTTCCCTTTAGCACTTGACTTTTACTTTGGAAATATTTCGCTTTTAGTATATTCATTAGTGTGTAGTTAGTTACGGGTCTTAATGTCCTAAAAATATGGTTTTAGAAATCACTTTATATGGGGGCTGGCTTCGTCTCGAATAATTTAGCTAGCTTTTCATTAAATTTGTTCAACATTTAGAATCCTTTTGAGGCTGGGATTGTGGACTGCTGCTTCTGCTGATGCTGTTCCTGGGGAAATGTTCATTGTTTCGTCTGCTATTGGCTGTTTGTTTAGATTGCGGGTTACATTTAATATCAAAAGGAATGATATATATGCATAATATATATATATGTATATACATATATCAAAATAAAACAATGCACTTCTGTTCTTGCACCGCAACGCGACTCTTACATGGGCCCATCAATGGCGCTCACTTTAAGGCGGAAATAGTACGCGGATCGGGCCAACATGCTCACCGCGATTACAAACAATGCCACATAGAGAATATACATGCCGCCGTGAGCCTGTTAACAAACAAAAATTTAAGTTTATGTAAAGAGTCGCCCGACTTGAATTCTGGGACGGTTTACTTACCGATGCATACGAGATTGTGCCTATGGTCACGGCAATGCCCGCCACAAGGAACAGCAACGCCACAATGGCAAACATAACGCCGCGGCTGTTGGCGAAGCGCGAACCCACCGAGGAGACCTTTCTGCAATGCGGACAGCGAGCCAGGGCATTGTGATAGGTGTTAAACTGCAGGTAGAAACATTATAGGATAGGCATTACTCTCTGATATGTGAGATATTGCTGCTTGTCAGCTTACCAAAAACGTGTCCGAACAGTGACCACAGATGACGCGACACATGCCCGGCATGGTTGGCACGGGTGGGGTGACGGGACTTGGGGCCAAGTTAATGATTCGCTTGCAATTGGGTCGGGGACAAGCGATGCGCTGCGAAGAGCTCTTGCAGATTAACAGACAATTGCACGGGCAGCGTACGTACTTCTTGCCCGGCGGAGCGTTCCTAATGGGCTGTGATCAATAACGTAAGCGATTACCTTAAGTAATCCATTCAATAATTATTAGTCACTTACAGTCGCCTCATTGCAATGGGTGCACTTGACCACATGCTGCTCCCTCTTCGTGGTAATGTCAATCATGTGCTGACACACGCGACAGGTGACCATTGGCACCCCTCCAGTGTTGCTACTCTGCTGATAGGGCGGTGGCAGCTCATCGGGTCCAATACAAGGCACTGCAGTCGGTGCTCCATTGCCTGCGATTCCAATGAAACCCAAAAGATCAGCAAATTAACATTTATATATACTCGTACAAAGCCTAGACCTTTTGTGTAAAATAAATACATCTCGCCAGCAGAGGCCTATAGGCTAAACTGCTACATTTTCTGCTTTCATTGCAGTCAGCCCCAGCCCCAGCCCCAGTCCCAGCCGCAGAGCAAGAGAGAACTGGTCTTTTGATAGTGTGTAGGTTGAGAAAGATGCGATAAAGACAAATGGGTCAATGTTTTGGTGCTATGAATGCAAAGCTCCTGTCCGCAATCACTAGCCCATCCTAGACTCTTGGGATGAGCCATTGGGTGGCTCAAACAAGTTCGAACATGTACAAAGCGAGAAAATAAACAAAAATCAAAGTCAAATTATGAATACTCGTTTTCGCCGGACTCTATGGCAAGCAGAATACTTGTGAGCGCATCCATGCAACCAAGTCGTAATTGAACGCGTTTAAAAGAGTATGCAAAAGAGAGTCGAGACTTTAATGATATGAATGGGGCGCTCAATGAGCCAATGATCAGGTTCCTTGGCGTACAACAAAACTGAGGCAGGGCTGTGTCTCTTCTGTCTTGCTGTGCTCAGCGATAAGGCAGCGCAAGTGACGATGAGTCATAAATTTGGCTTCTGCCTGGAGTGCGCCCCCCGAAGCTGTTGCCCGCGAATCGATGTTGATTAAACAGCTGTAGAGAAACGCTGCTTTCTGCTGATACGGGGAGCATAAACAATAACAAAAGTAGTGGCTGCGCTTTGGCGTCATGTTACTAATAAATGCTACCAGATACCAATACCCACGCCCACGCCCACGTCTACGTCTACGTTAATAGACACGGTGGGCTAGGGCCATGACTCAGTTGGGGGAAGTGTGAAAAATCTATGAAATGCAAGACTGGGAGGCTTCGGCGACAACTTCAAATCACAGTTGCGGATAAGTAGAGCGCACACTTGTTGGGTTTCAAATGCGAAGCGGAGCACAGCGACACCGGCACCGACACAGCCCGCACGCCAATAGACCCGTATAGTGCATCAATACATGCGGGTTGTGGGGGGATTTTACACCAAGTTGAATGTACTTCGCGGCCTACACAGGGTCAATAATCATTTGTACGCACCATCCTCATTGGGGACTGCGGCTGTGCCGCTCCCAGGATTCTCGGCACCCTCGTCGACGGCAGCGTACATGATCGATTCATCCTTGTTGATCAAGCTCTGCCTTTCGGGGTCGGCCATGCTGGATTATCGAGATTCCTGAAGGGTGCACTTTTTCTTCGTGTGACAAGAACAACTCCCGTTACTGCTGGACACAAATTGCCGTTCTCGCTGTTGTATTTGTTGTTGCTGACTCTTTTCTGTAACGCAACGTCACAACTGGAAAAAAACAAGAGTACACGGCTTATTAAAGTATCACATATCGCACATATTCTCTAAAGGCAGGCAATAAATATACCACAGCACCAAAGTGCAGTGCACAATTTGTTCTTTGTTTGATTGCAGTCACTTGTTTTTCGTTTTCCTCGGTTTTTACACTCGTTTCTGTTGAATATCCTCCCTCTTCGGCATGCGCCGCAATAATCAATTGTCGGCACCTTTACTGCACTACCCACATAGGGCGGGTGCAACGATTACATTTGTTATAGTCGAAAGTCGTTTAATTTGTCTAATTGTTTAATAATTGTTGGCCATATTCCTGCTATATTTTACCTTATTTTGTTGAAAATGCACTGCTGTCGACTCGATCTGGCCACACTCGTCTTTTGATCTGGCAGCACTCACGGTGCAGGGCTGCATAAAGGAATTCATTTTCTGTAGCCCTGGTGCACACAAAACAGTCCCAAGAATTGTGTTTTTTTTTTTATTACAATCAATATATGTACTTAATGGCCTAACAAAACAGAGACCCTACAATTAATGGCTCATTGCCCTGTATGGAATGCATTATTATATAGAAGGTAAATGCAATAACCAAAAAACTAGTTCGTCACCAGCTCAGATCGGAACCAAAACAACTCTCGCTGCGGCACGTTGATAAATCAAATGGCCGAAAATATTAATAAATCAAACATAATTCACTGCAATAACACAGAACAACTTAATGAAACAGTGAACAGCAACAGCGATGAGACCAGCAGCTCCGGTGACATCGAAAATAGTAGATACGGGAAACTACGTCGCAGATCCGTGCGCAGCTTTTCCTACCACTATCAAGCTCTACCCATGCGTGTTGTGGGGGATCAGTCTGCTTCCATTTCGGGATATTCAAGCTCTGCCCGGGATATAACATTAGGCCCCGCTCACATCATTGAAGACAGTTCGGAATCCGAGTTTCACATATCCGACACGAGCAACGAAGAACCGGCGAACAAATCAATTAAATTTGTTGGTCGTCCACTGGGAAAAACTGATTTGGACTTTATCAAAAAGCAATACAAACGTAAAAAACGACCAAAAAAGAAAATATACAAAGAATAAGCAACGCAAAAGGAAACCACCACATTTGAAACTGAAATGTGCGCGCAGGGCTGGCAAATGAGGTTTGTCGTGCGTTGCACAACACTGCTTCAGGCCCAGGGTTGGTTGGTGCATTTTGGAGTAGTGGTCAATTTTTACGAGCATAACTATTTACACGATTTTATGTAAATAAAACAAATTAAACGTAGGAAAATTAAGTGCAAAGTGTAAGTAAAGCCTCTCAGCTGCCATAGGATATAAGATATAATTAAATGCTGTCCGAACAACGGCTTAAATGGCCTCCCAAAATCTTTGATGATTTCATTTTCACACTGCGCGTTGTTGTATTGGAAACTTCGTCGTAGCTTTGCTTGATGCTGTTGCTATTGTTGTTGCTGTTGTACCCACGGCTGCTGTTGCTGCTGCTACTGCTGGGCGCCGACGTCAACAGACACAGCGACGCTCAAAATGTTTGTTTAGTGGAGGGCAAAGCATGGTTCGTTCGTTTGCGTTTATCTGCCTGCCATTTAGGGCACCAGCCAACAACTAAAACAGCACAGCGCCAGTCGTAGCCAGAGCCACAGCGGTAGCGAAAACGTCGAGAACACCTGTTCCTAATTGATTTTTCCCATTTGCCTACAGATCATTTCATCCGACTTCAAATTCAACAACTGTGTTCTGGCATTTTTAATCAGATGAATTAAAAAGGAATTAGCTGCAAAACATGTTCCCCTCTTAGACCAACCATAGCCCTAGTATTGATTAGAATTTTTAAGTAAAAAGTATTCGAACGAACGAATTTGCAAGCCGATTTTGGCCACCGACAAGTACACACCATAAAATCCGCAGACAAATCAGGAGATATGGACGCCCCACCAATGTTCAACAGCGTCGAGGATGAGTGCAGATATTGGAAAGAACGCTCCAAACAATACCATAAAGAGTAAGTACATCCATATTTAGTCCACGGTAAGAGCCACATTAATCAATTACATGTCCACCGATTACAGATGGACAGACGTGAAACAGGAGTACGATGAGTTTGTCGAACAGTCACGCGAAATGGAAATAGAAATGGACGCCACTCTGGAGCAAAAACAGAGTATTATCAAAGATCTCAGAGCCAGGCTTAATATGTTTGAGAAAGAAAACGATTCCCTTAAGGTAAAGTATAACTGAATGTATGATGGCGATTGTATCCTGTAGACTCCACAACCTTTAATAATAATATTCACTTTACGCAGCTGAAGCTGGACTCAAACTGCATTGATATGTCCAATATGGAGAAGCAGTTGGACACAGTGAAAAAGGAGCGCGACTCCATGAAGGTATACCTGCGGCAACTGGAGCAGAAAAACGACGACCTGGAGCGTGCCCACCGCATACTCAACGAAAGCATAGAGAACTTTGAAAAGATGTTGGATCAAGCATATGAGAAGAATGCTCTGCTCGAGTTGGAGGTGGATGAAAAGGGTCTGCTGCAAGAGAAGCTGCAACGGCTAATGGATGAGACGCGAGGTGAGACGAGAGGCATAACGCAGACAGACTGCAGGCTCTGGACTACATTTCCATCTGTTACAGATCTCAAACAAGAGCTCAATGTGAAGACACGCTACACGCCAGCGAATGGCACGAGCAACACCGCAGCAGTAGGCACCACCGCGGCCAACAGCACCATGAACTCATCCGCCTCTTTACCTAATGGCATTTTGGCCAACGGCGATGTGACGCCGCCACATGTCGACAACACCGCTGCTACAAAAGTCACCAGCGTCAGTGTTAGCGCTCTCAACGGCAGTTTAGTTAACAATAAAAACGAATATAATCAGCAAAATTCGCTTAAAAGTAAGATACTTCTTTCCTTAAAGCGTACCAAACGCGTCTTCAAGTTATCCAAATCGAGTCGCCATATCAAGCTTATGAAATAGTTACGCCTTCCATTTTGAATTTAATTGTGATTATCGTTTTATGTTCCATTACATTATAATTTATTGTTTCATTTTTATTTACCAATCGTACACAAAAACACATTTTGTTTATTTTGTTAGCACGTTTAAGTTCCTTTTTTATTTGTAATTGTATAGTAAATAATTAAAATTAAGACTCCAATCAAATGTAACGAAAGTTTGCGACATTTCTTGTAGGCAAATTGTGCGTTTTGTGTGCGTCTGTAGCTCCTAGTTGACCAACTAACCGAACCGCTGTATTACTATTAACTAACCTGCTGTGTATGTGTGCTTCCTCTTGCAGATCCCGAGAACCTTATCAATGGCAATTCCATGAATGCCAGCTCCCGCACAACGGCGCTCAACATTGTGGCCGACATGTTAAGAAAACTAAACGTAAGTCCCTCCAAAACCAAATACCAATAACTGATATCAACCACTATCACACATCACACTAATATAGCATGCCCTTAGAGTCTTCTCCATTTTCTGTTCTATTATTTCCATCCTTTGCACTCTTTCCCCGCCTGGTTTAAATGTTTTTCCATATGTTTTTAGTGGGATAAGGCCTTGTTATGTCCTGAATGCGAAAAGTTTCGCTGCATTTGCGAGCGCCCGTCCACGCTCCAGTCGCCGCCGCCGCCATCGGCCAGCGACTCGAGCCTGTTTCGTCGTGCCTTTGGCGGCAGCAGCGGCTCCGTTGTGACAAGCGCCCAGACCACGCCCGTCAGCGATGGCGGCTGTTCGAGCAGCAGCTCTAGCAGTCTGAACCTAGGCACAAACATTTTCAAACGCTTTGCCGAACGCATGCGCAACTCTACGGACGCAGAGCTACCGCTCTGACATAGCGCATCGAATTTAAGGCTACTTTTAAGTGCTCGACGCTTGCATTTATTAATTGCTTTGGTTAATAAATACAAACTATTTTTTTTACCTTACGGACATCTTTTGTTTTGTTGTTACTGTAATTGCTTGGTGATTGTCCCACATTGGCTAACACTCTGCCCATTCTGTTGTCTTGCAGGCGATGGAGACGAAGCTGAAGACATATCGCGAGCATGCACCGCCCATGCAGCCGCGCCAAAGATCCTCCCAACAACCGAACCATCCGGGAATGGCTGGTCTGGCCTGCCTCTCGCTCGATGCGGAATAGTCCCAGCCACCATCAGCATCACAATCACCGATGAATATCACCATCCACCTCCAGTCCAGAGTTTAGTGGGAAATATATTGTTCAGTTGGCTTTACGTTTACGTTACGTTAATGTTATCGTTGGCAATTATTTTGTACCCGCTGCCGCCGCTTCGTTTATTATTTATTTCACATAACTTGACTTGTAAAAATTCGAAATTACACAACAACTGATGTTGTCTTTTCAAGCCCATCAACCTATAGAATGCCTTAGTACGAATTAAGAATAAACAGTATACTTAAGCTAGGTCCGGTTCGGTTCCCTCTTTGAGTTGGTGTTCCACGCGAAGGCATACAATGTGTTTAGATAATAAGATGATGAAAGATGAAAGGTATCCCCACAGGCCCACGAGGAATAAGAAGCTCTGTCCAAGTATTATGCTTCATGTGGACAACGATAACAAAAAAACCCGAAACAACAAATACTCGTAGCGTTTAGGAAAAAAGACAAACCACAACCCCCTTCTGACTAGACACGGCTTCGTTGCTTGTGGTAGCATCCCGGCTGCTTCTGGTTCCTGGCTGTGTCGCCGAAACATTAATTATCTTATACTATAGTTATATCTATCCCAGAGCTATTTTCTGTTTATATTTACGAGCGAATATAAATGTGTAAAAGGGCAAAAATCTGTTAAAAGCAAATGTATAAAAATAACAATACACAAACCACAAATCCAACGAACATGCTAATGTACACAAATAAAGATGATTCTAATTAGTTTTAATAGAAGTTCCATGGCCAGATGCATTTCCCTTTATGCGCATTTCAATGTCAATGTCAACGTTGTCAAAAGTTTTAATTGCCTTGTTCCACCATGCTCATGTGTAATTAATTAATTTAGGTTCATATCGCAAGGTGGACGGAGCGGTGCGTCAATACCTATGCCAAGGCCAAACGGATGCGCCCGCTCCCACAACCGAAAGCTGCCCCACGAGATAGAGAGAGAGAGAAAGCTTTTGAAGGGGAAATAACCCATTGGTATTTTAGTACACATTTTTGGTGCGGGTTGGCGCAGCTTTACCCCAGGAAATTATGCTGTGAGCGGAGTGTGGGCATCCTTTGCCGACCTTGCTGGCGGGAAGGTCCGTCAGTGGTAAGCTAATAAAAGTGCTGTGGTTTGAATAAGTAAGCACGGGTTAGCGTCGAGTGCTGGTATTAAGTGAGTCGAGAAATCTGCAGAACGGAGCTGCGGATGAAATGAGGGCCGGACGACTAGCGGCGAGACAACAGATGCAAAACAAAAAAAAATCTTACAAGCTTTTATCATACGCACGCACAGCACTTACCAGCCACGGACAAGTGTTGTTGGAGCAACAGGAGCTGCTGCCTGAGTGCATTGTTTGCCCTGGACCAGGATAGGGCAGTGTCGGGGGAGCGGATTCCCAGGGTAAGCGGATTGGGAATGGCACAATGCAATTGCTGTTTGAAATAAAAGTGAACAGGCACAAAGCCAGGATTGCGCTGCCCTGCGCTCCTTGCGTAGGAGTGAGCGTTGAAGGCTGTCGTGGTCCTGGCCCTTTTGTTGCGCGCTTTTTCAAGACCGTTGCGCTGCGTTGCTTGTGTGGGACTGAGCGCTGAAGGCTGTCGTGGTCCTGTCCCTGCTGTTGCGCGTTTCTCCAAGAGCAAATTAAGGAGTTCGTCTTCTTTTTTACCAGCCGCTGTCGCTTGATGGACTCCCACAGGAAGCGGCGATCCCTGGCAGCTAATTAGCTAGTCACGCGCATAAAACCTGCCTCTTCCACAAAAGACAGCAATCAGACCAGAACCACGACACAAGCATCGCAATAAGCGGGTCAAACACCATCGCGAAACAGCCACTCAGTCGGGTCGGAAAACAAACGCCATTGTTCTGCCATAAAGCGGGCGAACGAGCTCGTAAAAAACTGTAGCAAAACAGTGGCTTAAAGAGGAAGCTCTTGAAAGACCACGAAACAGGGTGTACTTTGGTACTCGTCCCGATTTAAATGATTTTCTTTTGAGCCTGTTTCGCGCCCATTTGTGTGATCAATATAAATATGGCGATATCGGTATTGCATATTAAAAACGATATGACGATACTCGTCGAATGCATCGATTTTTGTCCGATATTTGAAAAAATATTTTCTCATCTACTATTCATCGAGGTGATTGCTTTTGAGCGCTATATGTACTTATTAATATAGAGCTGATTGATATTCATGCTAATTCATGGCAATCCCATATTTATAAAGATACGATATCTTCGATATTCTGTGTGATATTTTTTTCAATATCAATATCGATCTTTTCTTGACGATACCCATTTGTATTGTTACGCCATCCCTGGTATATGAAAGCGATATATAGGATACACGATCAGCTGCAGCAGCATGCACCTGTACTCCATCATGAGTAAGAATACTAATAAGATTGAAACGAAAGAGAAAGTGAAACGAGAAAACGAACCTACCCGCTTGTAAAGTTTTGAAAGTTTTCGCTCGGGTAAGTGACTCTTTCTGAAGAAAATACTGTAATACTGGATTATTTCAGTCTGTAACTACAGTAATTTAAGCCTAGTCTCCTACGATTTATTTTGATTAAGCAAGCAATGCATAATTTCTGATTCGATTTGTCTAGGGAATTCTATATGAGCCTACTCTTTAGAGTACATTTTCAGTTAATTTGAGAAGCAATCCAATTCCCCTCTCTTTTAGACCCTGCATCCACCGCGTAACACACAGCATTTTCGGCATTTATGCTCTTTAAATATTTAAAATACGCGGCGCGACGTCGTAATGTAGGATGGCCCACAAACGGAAATAATGATGAGGTGTGCGTCTGCGTGTGTGTTGTTCGACTGTGTGTGTTTGCGTGTGTATGCTTGTACAGGCCTTTGTTTCTGTTGCTTTGGTTGAAGAGGGCGTCCGAGGGCCATGACTATCGTGGCCGTCCTGCCATGCTCCCGTGTGGCCGTGTGTCCTGTCCTCTGCCTAAACATCAAACAAAATCGATATGTGGGTGGGTGGTGTGCGAGTATATGATTTTTGGCATAAACAAGCAACAAGCGGGGCCCCACCAGACGCACACATACTCGCAGTAGACGTACGTAAACCTAGCCAGGGGGCCCGTTTACAGGTTTGGTCCTTGCTTTGTTTGAACGCCGCAGGAGGCTCATTTTTAGTAATGAGTTTGTCTATCTGCAGAGGATGAGCAAATAGGGACCTGGACCCTGCCGGGGCTTTCACTAGCTCCTGGATGGCTGCAACAGTAAGCGGATGGAGATGGTCTGTCTATCTTTGGCTATGAGGTTGAATTTTGGATGAGCTTTGAGTAAACACCAAGGCCAGATAACAATGGAGGAAAGGAAACCGAACGGATCTTTGATTTTTCAGGATTCGTTCTTTAAGTTTTTAGTTCTACTGCCTGTAAATAAGTCTCCTAAAAGGTTAAGCAAAGCTTTCTTGTTAAACTCTGATCAATTCCCAAAAGAAAATATTTTGGAATGTAAGGGTATAGAAAAATCAACAATTTGCTTCAAGACAGGAATAAATATGTATGGTATATGTATATGTACAGAAAGGAAGCACACACATACTTCTGGCCAAATGTCCTAAGGGTCGTGTCGATGCTTGTTAGGAACTGTCTTCCCGTCGCTGTCGTTGCTGTTTCTGTTGCTGTTGCCGTCTTCCTGTTGCCATCTTCCGGTTGCCATTATATTGAACATTTGCTATAAATAATTTGGTCTCGATTTGAAGTGTGAGCGGTAATGAAATTCACTTGATTATCCCCTGATTGCCCCCCCCCCGGTACGAGGAACTGCACTGGAAGGGATCTGTGTGCTGCACTGAAGCCGAATCATCAATCAGCTGCGCTTTTAATTAGAACTGACTATGGTCCTCCACGCATCCTCTTCTCCATCTGCGGACCCCGACCGCAGCTCAAGTGCACATCATTAGGACACATTTAGAGATTTAATTAAATCGAGTCGAATTGGATTCGATTGACCTTTAGCCGTTCGATTCGTTTGATGGCATAGAATCCCCTTTGGTTTCCGATTGCTTCTGTGATGTGGCGTCTGGTTCCAACAGCGCTTATGTACTTTTAATTAGGTTCAGATAATAAATATGGAAAGTTTCCTTCTAGATCTATGACTAAATGGTGCATTTGAGTGGCCTGCACTTAAATTAATTGAATCACCTTTCTGTTCCACCTTCACCTTCACCTTCCATCACTTGGATGTGTACTACTCGTAGATATGTACCTACATATGAGGCACATATATATTTCGCTGTTGCGCTGAATGAATTGCTGTCTGTGGCCTTATAAAATGGCCAGCGAAATGTGCCAGAACCCATGTGTAAACTGTTTTTTATGACACCGTCGAGATGCGCACCCAAAGAATACACCCGCCCATCCTGCCATCCATGCATGGCATGACACCTTTGTGCCGCTCTCTGCGTCTGTTTAGAGTAAGCCTAATGGCCAAATGGCCATTGTCTGCGGCGGCTCCCATTCTGATTTATGCTCCCACACACACACACATGCACAAAAAAGGGAACAGGCTCGAATATGACATAGTACGCCTGTGCTCTCGAAATCTCTGAGGTCCATTTTTACAGCTCGACCTGGTTTCGGATTTCGTTCCCTTAATGCCCACCAGTTGGCGGATCATATAAATCATGCAAATGTTTCATTTCTCCAGTACAAAAGGCCATGACAATTGATGGAGAATATCTTGCATCGATATTCTGACATTTTTACTGAATACACGCCGAGGTAAAATGTGCAACTT